AAAGGGAAGGAAAATGAAAGTTGTTTTGGTAATTTCAATTGAACATACATGTCCTAGACTTTGAATACTGTGAGTTTCTACCTTCCCTTGGAATTGGAGCCTGAATTTTACAATGTTTTTCCTGACCCAGCCAACCCTCCAAGTTTCCAGCTCTGTGATGGGTTAGTGAACTAGGTGCTCTATAAATCCTGCCAGGCAGAATCCCCTGTGCTGCCAGCATGGGCAGTGTGTTTGTTACTGTTACTGTTATTATTGCTGTGGTCAAAATACTTGAGAGAACAACTTAAAGGGAAGAATCTTATCTTGGCTCAGAGCTTAGGCCCTACCTCCTTTTACTGTCTCCCAGTAATGCTATCATATTATAAAGCCATCACCGGATCAATCCACTGAGTAGGTCAGGATCCTTATGATCTAAGTGTTTCTGGAAATGACCTCATAGACACACCTGGAGGTGTGCTTAACTAATCTTCTAGGCTTTTCTCAATCCAATTAAGTTGATAGTAAAGAATGACTATCAGAAGCAGAAATTACTGGCACTGCCTGAACTCAACCTGGAATGTTTTCAAGGACAAATGACCCATCTGTTTGCTGGGAATCTTCAGTACCTCTTTGGTGGTACTCAGAGGGGTTGCTTATGGAGCCTGGCACGACGTATGACATACAGGAAGTATTTGGGAAATTCCAGGTTCGTGGATAGATGGAAGGAAGGATGGATTAATGGATAGATGGATGGAATGGCAACCAACTACCTCAGCAAGGTTTAAGAAGCCCCCAGCAGCAGGGAGGTGGCCCAAATGAAAGGGAATCTTCTGCCTGAAATTATGAAATAACATGCAAGGTAGGTATGGTGGCACATGTCTATAATTCTTTGAGAGGCTGGGCTACATAGCGAGACCCTGCTTCAAAAAACCAAACAAGGGGCTGGCAGAGTGGTTCAAGTGATAGAGTGTCTGCGTAGCAAGCGTGAGGCATGAGGCCCTAGATAAAGCTTCAGTAACACACACACACACACACACACACACACACACACACACACACACAGAGGCAAAAAAGAAAAAAAAGAAAAAGAAAAAGACTGGAGGTGTGGCTCAATTGGTGGAGTGCATGCTTTGCAAACATAAAGCATAACACCCTAAGGTCAAACCCCAGTGCCATCAAGGAAGGAAGGAAGGAAGGAGGGAGGAAGAAAGAAAGAAAGAAAGAAAGAAAAAGAAACATGAAAGAGCTGGAAACCAATGACTTGGGTCTCCCCACCAGAACTTCAGGTCTCCTACCAGCATCTTCATTCCCTTTAACATGTGAACCATTTTGTCTTATATAGAAAAGTAGAAACTGAGGCAAGCAGATGATAACTTGGCAACAGTCCTCTAAAAGCCCATCTAGCCACTTTTAGTGTTGCTCCTGTCCGTCCCCCTTCCCCTCCTCCCCCCATGCCTTGGGGAAGGATGGGGTGTTAGAGTTGCAGAAAGGAGCTGATTTAGTCCACCTTGTCATCCCTCTGATAAGGGCAACACACATGGGACATGTGGAGAGATTAGACTGATCTACGCACCCCATCTGGACACGCAGAGAATGTACAAGGTGGTGGATGGTGCCCTAGTTGTAACCCAAAAACTCCCAAATATGGTTAAACTTTCACTAGGCCAAAATGGGTGACCACTTCCAGCTGGAACTCTACCGTCGGGGGGCTGTCCGGGAGCACCCGGTGATGGAGACCCGGGGAACTGCCTGTCCCTGGACAACTCTAGGTTGGGCCACGCCCTGCTTTGGGGCAGGACACAACTCTCCATCCTGTCGTGGCGTCCTCCGCTGTCCTCAATGCTCTTTCCCTGGCCCTGTGGCGACCTGAACTTGCTCTTCCCTGAGTTGCCAGCCAGCCAGCCAGGTCTCCTGCGAAAGGCGGGTGCGAGCGGGGCTCCAATCCCGCTCCAGCGCTCACCGCACCAGGGCAGGTCCACCTCCCCCTGCCGCGCCCTCTGGCGGTGGCTGCACGTCCTGGGACTCCGACTCATGAGCTTCTCAGGGCCGAAGTATGGCTTGCCTTGTATGTGCTGGACAGCGTCTGTCAGGCTGCCGGGCTCTGAAGACCTTCATTATGAGCTCTCCTCTCTCCAGATCCCCTCCTGGACGTTGGAGGAGGATTCTGCAAGCTGGGGACAGCCAGGGTACCGAGAGGGACGTCTTCACCGCAGGGGATGTGCTCGGAGGGATTCCAGTTTCCTCTTTTTGCTGGAGTCGTCATCAGGTAGAGAGGGTGGGCGTGGGACCTCTCCCTGACCTCAGCCTGTGCACTCAACCCACAACAAATCTGGAGTGGTCAGCGATGATGTCCATCATAAATGGCGAATTTCTACCAGCGCCACACAGAACACAGGATTCAGCTGTGGCTCTGGACAAGTCTCTGGCTTTCTCAGATAAACCTGGGCCTTGTGGGACGTTTCAAGTTCAAACCAGCAGTGGCAAAATTGTTGAGGAATCCGAGGAACGCTGCGGGTTATTGGGTCAGTGTGGTCATGGGAGGAGAATAGAGGCAGCGAGCGGTAGGAGGCTGAGAGGCTGCCGCTTCAGCACCGAGGACTGGACAGCGTCTGCAGCTCAGTTCTTCCACACCCGAGGGAGGAAGGAGGATCATAACTCATTCCCCACTGGAGCTTCTCCAACAGAGGCAGAAGGCTGAACGATTCTGGGAAGATCTGAACTTCAGGACCCAGACTTCAAGTGGCCTGGAGCCTGAGACTTGAGTTCATGGGGTCCGCACCGGAGATCCAGTGATTAGATTCTTTCCAGGTATGACAGAAATAACTTTTTTTTTTGGAGGGGGGTGCTCTACTGGGATTGAACCTGGGGCCTAGTGTGTGCTAGAAGAGCACTTTACCACATGAGGTAGGCCTCAAGTCCTTTTGTTTTTGTATTTTGTCTTTGAGATAGGGTCACACTAATTTTGTCCTGTCTGGCTTTGAACTTGAAGATTCTTCTGCCTCATTTTACCAAGTATCTGGGATTATAGTCATGCACCACCCCACCCTCCTGGAAATAACCCTTTTGTAGGGTTTCAGATTGCAAAACAAAATTTTTTGGTGGTATTGGGGTTTGAACTCAGGGCTTCACACTTCCTAGGTGGGTGCTCTACCACTTGAGCCACACCTCCAGCCCAGATTACAAAACTTTTTACAAGTGGTCTCCTCTAGACCTTACAAGAGCTCAAGAAAGCAGGTTTGCATATCGTCTCTAATAGATGGGACAACTCAGAGGAAGTAAATAACCCCAGAAAGTCACACAGTCAGGGAAGAGTCTGAGCAGTTAAGATTCCAACCACTGCCTAGGTTGTAGCAGATCCGCTCCCACACATGGAGATGTGGGAGGGAGGGCATGGAAGCTGAACTGAAGACATGGAAGAGAAGATCCTATGGGGTGAGGGCAGAGGCAAGGTGGGAGCCATGGTTACGTGGGGCCACACCCAGGGCTGCAAGGAGGAGCAAGATGACTCTGTCTATACCTAAAGTCTGTGATGGTATTCAAGGTGTATCATAGCCCATCTATCCAGACTCATTTGCCTGGGATGCCTGTCTTTGGGCCAGAGGTCACTCTTCTGCTCTCTGGCCAATCTATCCCATCAGGACTGGGACTGTGGTGAAGCAGGAGGAATCCTAGGGGCAAACATTTAAAGAATACTCATTCTCAGGTTTTTTAAAAAATTGCTGTACTGGGGGTACACTGTGACATTTACAAAAGTTCTTACAGTACATCATAGTTGAATTCACCCCCTCCATCATTTCATTCTCAGTTTTATGCAAGTGCAGGTTAGCAAATGTGTGTGACCCTAAGAATGATTCTCTTCCCTCTTCCTTTCCCCATCCTTTATTTCCTCCTTCCCTTCCTCCCTCCCGCCCTCCTTCCCTCCCTTCTTTCCTTCCTTTTACTGGCACTTGAACTCAGGGCTCTGGGCTTGTAGGCAAGCACTCTACCACTTGAGCCACACCCCCATCTCCCCCACTCTATTCTGCCTTCAGTCTTAGGCTCCTAGGCAACAGAGACCATTTTCTAATCCCTGAAGGTCTCCAACTCCTGGGTAGTGCAGGAATCACATTTGGAGCTCAGTAAACATTTGTCAGTGTCCAAGCCTCAAATATATATTATGCTGGGCATTACACGTCTGTAATTCCAGCATTCTGCAGGCTGAGGCAGGAGACTTGAGAGATCCCGACCAGCCTAAGCTACACAGTGAGTTTGAGGCTAGCCTAGATTACATAGTGAGACCCTGTCTCAAAGACAAAAAACAAGTCAGGTTTTTTTTTCTCTAGGAAAAGTGGACAAGGCTGTGAAAGACAGGGTTCTATGTGCCAGATACCCTAACCGATTCTGGGTTGACTAGTGTCTGGATTCTCATGTACCAGAGGTAAGAAAATGAGATGGGCTAAGCGCCGGTGGCTCACGCTTGTAATCCTAGCTACTCGGGAGGCAGAGATCGGGAGGATCGTGGTTTGAAGCCAGCCCAAATAGTTCGAGCGATCCTATCTCAAAAAAACCCATCACAAAAAAGAGCTGGTGGGTTGGTTCAAGGTGTAGGCCCTGAGTTTAAGCCCCAGTACCAAGAAAGGAAAAAAGAGAAGGCAGGAAGAAAGAAAGAAAAAAAAGAAAAGAAAGAAAGAAGAAAATGAGATGGGCAAACTCAATGTACAGGCAGGATTCAGAAAGTCCTAGCCAGAAAGTAAAGGAGCATTCTTTTTACATGCAGAGCAACAAACCTGAAGAGTGGCGATGACTTGCTCCTAGTCTCACAGCGGCGTAAGGACAGGGATAGGACCTAATTAGAGAAAGCCAGGAACGCAGTCACTAGGTGCACATCAAGTGTGTCGGAGCTCTACTTATGAGGCCTGGAATCATGAGCAGGAGCGATCCATTGCTTTTGACTGCCAGCGAGTGCCGAGCGCTGATTGGTCCAGGTTCAGGAAACGCGTAAATGGGAGTGCGCGGCGCCGCAGCGTGAGAGCCTCGCGCGCGGGGTGGGAGCCGGTGCGTCCCTAGGATATGGCGTCGCTTAGCTGCAGCACTGTAGTTTGCGTGATCTGCTTGGAGAAGCCCAAATACCGCTGCCCGGCCTGTCGCGTGCCTTAGTGAGCGGGGAGTTCGTGGGAGTGGGAGGAGAGCGTGAATGTCGGAAGGTGGGAGGCCGGGCTGGGGGCTCATGCGACTTGGGGTCTCTCGTTACAGCTGCTCGGTGACCTGCTTCCAGAAGCACAAAGGTAAGGATCCACGTCCGTGTTCAGCCCCAGCCCTCCCTTGCGTGTGGCAGCCCCCTCACCCCGCCGCTGTCTCCGAGTCTGCGCCCGATCCTATCCGAGCCATTCCTGCCTCCCGCCACTGCTTATTTTACAGGAGCCTTGCCTCCTCGGGCTTCGTTTGTCCTGGTGTCCTGGACCTTTGTTTGTAAACACGTCTCCTGGTGTTTAATAATCAAAACCTTTGTCATGCATGACTCTCGTTTTTCTTTACAAAAGTAGTCGCCTGTTCTAAATTTCTAAAGCAGAGAAAGTTTTTCTAAGTTAAAAAAAAAAAATGCCGGGCGCGGTGGCAATCCTAGCTACTTGGGAAACTGAGAATGGGAGGATCATGCTTCAAGGCCAGCCCAGGCAAATAGTTCACCAGACTCCCATCTCCAAAGTAAACAGAGCAAAATGGACTCAAGCGGTAGAACGTCTGCTTTGCAAGCGAGAGGTCCTGAGTTCAAACCCCAGTGCAAAAAAAAAAAAAAAAAAAACCAAAAAACACCCAAATTTGATCTATTCCCTCCCTTGTTTAAAACTCCACGGCTCTCTGGCACAGAGGACAGTGTTCTTTAGGGAGACACGTTGTCACAGTTGTAGAGCAGTGGTTGGTGGTACTACAGATAGGATGCTGGGGCTCAAAATGCAGATTTTGCTGGGTGCCGGTGGCTCATGCCTGTACTCCTAGCTACTCAGGAGGCAGAGATCAGGAGGATTGCGGTTTGAAGCCAGTCTGGGCAAATAGTTTGCCAGACCCTATCTCGAAAAAACCCAGTACTGCAAAACAAGCAAACAATAAACCCCCCCAAAACCCAAAATGCATATCTTGTATCTGTGGACCATCCTGCACCACTAACGACCTTCAGAGTGCTATTCATGCTCTTGCCAAGACCCCGTGAAGAAAGATGAACTTCCAGGGGGTGGCATTCTCTTGCTCTGGCTTCCTTCTCTTGTGCCTCAAGCCCTTGCCAGGTCTGCCCTCCCAATCAACAGGCAGGTACTCATCACCATCTTCTGGTTACCCAACCCTGTTCTTTCAGATGTCTGCCGTAGGCATAGGCCTTTTTCCCTGCCAAGAATGATTTCACCTGAATGTTGTTCTCAGTCTTTTCTTTTGAGTCCTCTTGCTCTTATCTCCTGCCTTTCTCAGGTGGACTTAGACCAGATCTTTCTTTCTTTATCCATCTTTCTGGCTGTCTCCCATGGCTAAACCTCTCCAGGGTGGGAGTGGTGACTTTCATCACCATTTCCAGTGGCTCATGGTACATACCAATATGATATCTGAAACTGCTGAGGAAATCATGTGATGGTCATTGAAGTCAGTGTGCCACTTAATCTTAGTGAAAACCCTGAGATTAGGCAGGATAGAGAGGGTGGGGACAGACTTGATGTGCATGAGCCCAGCTTCCTCAGCCCTTCTGCCAGATTCAGGGTTGCTCATGGTATTCCTTATCCTGCCCCTTTCTTTGATCCCTCCCCTCTTTCACATGCATCACTACCTCATACACATGCTTCTGCCTTGGCCTGGTGGGGAGATGCAGTCTTGTTGCTGGAATGGAGGGAATGTGTACCTGTGATTTGTCTTGCTTCAGAGCAGTGCAAGCGTGAAACTCGTCCTGTTGAGAAAAGATCTGCTGCTCCTGTAAAAACTTTAAAGCCTGAGGAAAACAAAGGTGGGTTGGTTGATTTCAAACAAACATAGAGGGGATTTCAAAGCCAGTAAGTGGGAGGGAAAGAGAGGAGACAGGCTTGAAGAGTGGAGGATGGCTTTGAGGGAGAACAGCCTCCTCAGCCCTGTTCCCAGACATGGGACACAGGTGGTGAAAGAGAAGAGCCTGAAGCATCAGTGTTCAGGGAGAAATACAGGGGCAGGAGGCAGAGGGAGAGAGTCCATGGCCGTGATCTGGGGGTTTGAAGTGGGCCCTTCTCTAATCCTAGCTTTTCATATCCGCACCTGTGTCTGCTTGGGTTCTCAGTTCACCTGAGCTAGGCCCAGGCGGAAGGTTTCCTTTGGTCTAGGCCACCTCCCTGCTGCTGGGTGCTCCTAAGAGTTTCCTGAGATAGTGGGCTGCCATCTCATCCATTCATCCATCCATGCACCCAGCATTTCCCTAATAACCTCTTGAGTGTCATACATGGTGCCAGGCTCTGCAAGCAGCCTTTTTGGTGCCACCAGAGAGGAACTGAAGATTCACAGCAGAGGGACGTGTCATTTGTTCTTTGAGAAACTTCCGGGGTTGGTTCAGGCGATGCTAGTAATTTCTGTCCATGATGAAAGCACAGAGGACTCTGTTTGGCAGATTTGTTACAGAGCACCTAGTTCACGGGCCCATCACCATGGTGATGAGAGGTAGGTGGTAAGAATTGAAAATCCAGGCTCCAAGCAAAGACCACAGAGAAACGTAGAGCAAGTGTGAGCACTTGTTCAATTCTTACAGTTACCTTCTGTTTTGTGCAAGAGGAGTGCTAATATAACTGTGAATTCCAGAGGTATTTTTGCTTGTTACTATTTGTATGCCCCATCACTGTTGTACACATGTTCACATACAGTTTCTGTTTGGGGAGTAGTTAGAATCCATGTCCTGGCTTTTCATGAGTCCTCAGCAGTGGACTGTGCTCTGTATTCTTCAGATGATGATGACTCTATAGCTGATTTCCTCAATAGTGATGAGGAAGAGGACAGAGTTTCTTTCCAGAATTTAAAGAATTTAGGTAAGTCTATGCTGTGCTTGTTTATTTTCTTGTATCAAAATACATTTGCTATTATACATGACTTTTTTTCCCTCAGTCCTGGAGATCCAACCCAGGGACTCATGGGCAAGCATTCTACCACTAAGCTACACATCCAGCCCTAATTTCTTTTTTTTTTTTTTTGCAGTTCTTTGGTTTGAACTCAGAGCCTCACGCTTCTTGCCAGGCAGGCACTCTACCACTTGAGCAACCCTACCAGCCCTGTTTTGTGTTGGGTAATTTTGAGATAGGGTCTTACAAACTGTTTGCCCCGCTGACTTTGAACCGTGATCCTCCTGATCTCTGCCTCCTGAGTAGCTAGGATTACAGGCGTGAGCCACTGGAACCCAGCTTAATGTGATTAAAGTTATGCAGGTAGTGCATGCACAGCCACACAGTTCTGTATACATAAATGTCCCACTTCCCAGCCTGCCCAAAGTGCTCATCATTCAGTCTCCCTGGAATCTATTGCTCTTATAAGTTCACAAGATTCTGCTCTCCAAGATGTGGTTCAAGTTTTCTTTGCTTAGCTAAGCTTTTCTTGACTTAGTTTTTAGGAATTAAGACACTTCTGGCTTCCCTTAGTGCCTTGGACTTATTATTTAGTAATATGCCACTCACCATTTTATGGTAATTTGTATTTTACCCACCAATCTGCAGGCCAGCAATCGTTTGTTCCCTTATCTCCACTACTTGATTGACAGTCTAGCAATCAATGCAGACTGATAATCACAAGCTTTGATTTTTTTTTTAGTGGGAAATGATATTAATAATGCCTTTTTTAGTAGAGCTGATTCAATTCCTACAATAGTTCTGTTATGTATAACTAATGGGCTAATTAGTTCATAAAGGCAGTTTTCATTATTTCATTATTTTCTTTCTTTCGTACCAGAGTCAAGCTGAAAGGTTGTGCTTTGCACTTAGTCCCGTGGTTGTAATTAGTTAAGGCTGAGAAGTAGCTGGGTCCTGGTGGCTCATGCCTGTAATCCTAGCTACTCAGGAGGCAGAGTTCAGGAGGATCATGGTTCAGAGACAGCCCAGGCAAATAGTTCATGGATCCCCATCCTGAAAAAATACCCAACACAAAAAAGGGCTGGTGTAGTAGCTCAAGTGGTGAGAGTTGTAATCATGAGGGCCCTGAGTTCAAACCCCCGTTTTCCTCCCCAACCCCACCAAAAAAAAAAGACTGAGGAGTAAAGAATGTTATAAACTGTAAAGCCCCATACAGGTGTTAGTTTTGCTGTGTATGCTGGATGGCAGGCATAGCCATCATTCAGAGTACTTGGTATAACTGTCCCTTTACCACTGGGAACCTTTTTGCCCATCTACAAAGAAAGAAAACACTACTAGGATGGTGCTATTCTGTGTATTTGTGCTGATGTTTTTTCTTAGCTGAAATGGAATAAAGTTAAAATAATTACAAAGATCTAAGAAGCTAACTGAATTTAACTTAGAGATCATTTAACATGCTGATCTTATTGTTTACATATGAAGCATCGCGGTTAATTTGTCAGTACACTCATTTTGCTGGCATCTGAAGGAGCCTTGAGTTTAGGACACCGTTCCCTCCAGGATGCTCAGGTCCCTATACTACAGTACTTGCACATAACCTATGCATATACTTTAAGCCATCTCTGCACTATTTATAATACCTAATATAAAAGTAAATAGCATCATGTATTATTTAATGAATAATGGTAAGGACAAAAGTCTACAGTTTTGCTACAGTTGTTTTTAAATAATATTTTTCATCTGTGGTTGGTTGGGGAACCTATGAAATAGGGGTCTGACACATAAAGGTTAAGAGGATGCAGTATCTTGATAATTTGTTACATGAAACATTTGTGTCAGCCACCACCACGGGTTCCACTGGACTGGCTTTTTTTCTTTTTAAGGTGAATCTGCAACTTTAAGAAGCTTATTGCTCAACCCACACCTTAGACAGTTGATGGTCAACCTGGACCAGGGGGACAACAAAGCAAAGCTGATGAAAGCCTACATGCAAGAGCCCTTGTTTGTGGAATTTGCAGACTGCTGTTTAAGCATTGTGGAGCCATCCCAGAATGAGGATTCTTAAAATGGACTGTTGTACAACTTACTCAGGCATGTGTTTGACCCCAAGAACTTGTATGTTCCTTCTCCCAGGAAACCAGGTAGCCTGGGCCCTAAGCAAGGGTGGTGATTTCCTGGAGGTATCCTGGCTGCTGCAGGCCATAAAGTCCTGTACCTCCACAAGCACAGGCACATGTTTCAGACACATGGGGTACTTGAGGGCAGATCCTTTTTGAAGAGGATACTTGATATTCAAATGGTTGTTTTTAAATGTTTTATTTTGGGTTCAGTTGGGATACACATAAATACTATTTATCAAGTTTTCATCCATTTGAGTTAAAAACTGGATCAGTGTTACTAAATAAAATCAAGACGTGGTTCTCATACATTTCATTGTTCATTGTCCTTGGTTCCTAATCTAATTGTTTGAAATTACATTAAATAAATCAAGAACTTATTAAATACTAAGTTTTCCCCCCACCCTTTTAAAGGAAATAAACACCACGTTTTCCCCAGACAAAATTTTAGCATCAATTTTAGGTTGACTTAGTCCATTTTCTTTTAAAGTGCTTGTGGGTGACTGGGGTCCCCACTGTAGTGACAGATAACACTCAAGTTAGATCCAAGAAGGTAGTGAAATAAGAAAGTCTGGCCCTCCTAATCCTGGTTTGGTAACTACCAACCCTGATAACCTTGCCAGTGCTTGAGCTGTGGCTGGCTGGTACACTGGCTGTGCAGCCCTGGTTGCAGACTAGAGTTGTTGCTGGCATGTAGGCTTAGAGTTGCTGTGGGACTAGTTTGGCAGCTGTGAGTTAATTAAATGTCTTTGGCAAGGCAGCTGGCAGGAAAAGGCCTTGTAGAAACAAAGGCATCAAAGATCTCTCAGCCAGGTGGGAGCAGAGGGTGACAAGAGGTCACACGTGGACTGGCCTGTGCCTTTCTAGCAGAATCTGATTAAAGCCAGTAACAGTATTGGGTGAAGGTTCAGGGCAGGTATCAGCATATCGAAGTGGAGACCTTCTGCAATGAAACTTTACCGAGCCCTAGGGAGAAAGAGAGGTACAGCTTAGCCCCAGCTCCCAGGAGTACCAGGGCCTAAAGTTACCTCATAGAGTAAATGCTAGAAATATGTGAGGTGTGGACAAGTACCAGTTTGATGGCCACAGCAGTAGCAAGATTGACTTAATGAGTTCTCTCCTTATTCTAAAACAGTGGCAGAGTCCAAAGCATTAGTATATAAAGTTTCACATCCAGTCAGTTTGAGACAGGAAACACAAGGAGGGATCGTCTCCTCCTAGTATCACCTGTCACATTCCTAAGGCTGCTTACTGCTGGAAGCAGTACACCATTTACTCTTTTGTTTTATGCTCTTGCCATAATCATGTGGGATTTTATCCAGTTATGGTCTATAGTAATTCCTCTGATGTGGAAATTGTTTCCTTCCTCTGTCTTGTCAATTTCACTTACTCTTTCCTGTGGCCCTATGTGCTAGGTTGAGTATTAGCCCACTTTATAAGCGAAGAAACAGGCTTTGAGATGATGTGCCTCACCAAGGTCATCCAATGAATGGGGCAGAGGGAGGATCCACACCTTGACATTCTGCCTCCAACTGTTAACACACCTGTTGCCTTTCCTCAGCTATTTCTATGAGGCAGGCTTGCTGGGGTGAACCTTTAAAAAGCTCTGAGAAGCCAGGTGCTAGAGGCTCACACCTGTAATCCTAGCTACTTGGAAGGTTAAGATCAGGAGGGATCATGGTCTGAGGTCAGCCCCGGCAAAAAGCATGGTGGAGCATGCCTGTCATCCAGGCAAAGGCAGGAAGTGTAAAATAGGAGATGGTGGTCCAGGCCAGCCTGGGCAAAAAGTGAGATGCTATCTCTAAAATAACCAGAGCAAAAAGGGCAATCAATACGTGTGGCACCAGTGGTAGAACAACTTCATAAGCATGAAGCCCTGTGTTCTATCTCCAGTACAAAAAAACAAACAGTGATATCAACTTCCTAAGTGTTCTGGCTATCTCGTCTTTCCCAGCTGCTCATATTAGAAACACACAGAGGACTTGGACCACTGAATTACCTGCTTGTCATTTCCTCAGCTGGAAAATAATAACCAAGTAATAAAATTTGAGGAAACTTTGATGCCAAATTCAGTATCATTTGAGGTGACAAATTGTCCTAACATCCCTTTTGTCAAAGTGGGACTAATTAAAAGGAGGAATCCGTACAGTTGTTTATCCCATTCTACCTCATAACCACCCTGCAGGGGAGCTGCCTGGTGCCCATCTAGTAGGCAAGGATGTAAGTTTGAGGCTGAACGTTCTGCCTGAGTCTCCTTCACAGTGGCAGAGCCAAATACTTCACTAGAACAGTAAAAGCTTTTTACAAGTGAAGGGCTCTAGAAGGTTCCCAGTTGTAATAATGGAAATAATCCACACCTGCAGCTGCTTGGGGGTGCAAGTGACTGGTTTATCCAGCAGGGTTAGAGAAGGGTCTTATTCCAGCCACAGACCTGAGCCCCTGTGGACACCTGGGGTTTGCTTTCTGCCTTCCCCAAGGAGGTGTTAGCAACTGGAGCTGCTGTGGGGCAAGACTGCCATCCCATCATCATATGCTATACCTGAGGCAGTGCTCGGATAGACGTGACACCAGCCTGGTCTTGTTGCGCTGTCTGGACATTGTAGCTACCTGAGCGAAGCTGGAGGCAGGCGCAGACCACCAGTTTCCTCTGAAAGCCTCGAATACCCACAGCAGAGTTGGCTAGCACCAGTCCCAAGGGCCAGAGGTGGATTACAGCCCTCAGGAATCTGGTTTGCACTGGGGAGCTCAAGGAGCCAGGAGTTTGAATCACAGCTTTTTCTTCCACACCGTCCAGTTCTTTAGAAGCAAGGAAGGCCATTCTGATCTAAAGAGAAAACATTTCGTTACAACTTTAGATTTATCTAGGCCTCCTGGCCCCATTTTTTGGGGGGCAGTATCTCTCTAAGTAGTTTAGGCAGGCCTTGAACTTGCAATCCTCCTGCTTCAACCTCCCAAGTGCTGGGCATACAGGTGTGTACCATTATACAAGGCTTTTCTCTAGCCCACTTCATGTTAAAATTATTTTTATTAAATCAGCTTGATAAGGTAAATTAAACATCTGGATACTGTGAACTAGACTGGCTCCATGTGGCTACTGTGCTTAATTAAGCCTTACCTTTCTGAGCTGTAATTGATATACCACAGAGCTCATCATTTTAAAATGTGTGATTCCATAGATAAATGTTCCCAGAATTGCTTATGCCACCTCTTTACCTTCCACAACCACCCCACGGTACTTTGTGCTGCCTTATAGATGAGGACATAAGGCCCCTTTATCACAGTGGCAGAGCCAGCATTCCCTCTCTGGTCTATCTGGTGTTAAAATCACACACTGCCCACCCCAACTTCTCCAGTCATACTCACTCTCCACTTCTGCCATGCACTCTTGATGACTGTGGCAGCTGTGTGCAGCCTCTGGATGTGTTTCCGAGTTAACCAGGAACGAATGGCTAAGAGGTTTGCCAGGAAACAGCAGAGAGATAACAAAATGGTCATTAGAGCTGTTGGCCACCTGGTTCTGTGGCAACACCAGAGTGGTTTAAAAGTGTAAAACAGGTGTTTTTTCCAATGAATGGCTACTATGTAAAGTAAGGTTCTAAAGTCAGTATGTACAGCAAAAATGGCTTTTTAATCGCTCATGATACTATCTGCACACTTGCAGATACCTGCACATTGAAGATGTGCCTGGGAGCTTTGGCCAGCCCAACAGAGTCACCTCCCATGTCAGGCTCCTGGGCAATACCCATGGAGTGGGAGGGGGTCTGGATTATCTATACCTTTTAAAATTATTTGTCTCAAGCTGAAAGTGTAGCTCAGTGGTAGTCTTGCCTAGTGAAGCCCTGGGTTTGGTACCCTGCATCAAAAAAATGATTTAAAAAAATTGTCTGATTTTCTTTTTTGGTACTGGGCTTGAACTCAGGGTCTTGTACTTGCTAGCCAGGTATTCTACCACTTGAGCCACACCTTTAGCCATTTTAGTATTGATTTGTTTTTCTTTTTTGGCACTACTGGGGCTTGAACTCAGGGCCTCATGCTTGCTAGGCAGACACTCTACCACTTGAGCCACTCCACCAGATTTTTTTTTTGTGATGGGTTTTTTAAAATAGGGTCTCATGAACTATTTGCCTGGGGCTGGATTCAATCTGTGATCCTCCTAATTTCTGCCTCCTGAGTAGTTAGGATAACTGGGTGAACCACCAGTACCTGGCTAGTGTTGGTTTTTTTTTTTTTTTTTTTTGAGATAGGGTCTTATTTTATGCCTGAGTTGGCCTGGATCAAGATTCTCCTATTTGTGCTTCCCCACTTAGCTGGGGACAACAGGTGCACACTGCTTCACCCAGCCAGTGAGATGGAGTCTCTTGAACTTTCTGCCCATGTGGGAAACCACGTCCTCCTGAGTAGCTAGCATTACAGGCTTGAGCCACTGTGTCTGGCCTTTTTTTTTTTTAAAGATAGGATCTATGTAGCCCAAACTGGCCTTGAACTATCAATCCTCCTGCCTTGGACTCCAGAGTGCTGGAGTGGCACCATACTTCAGTTTTGTCTCATTATTACTTTAAAATTTTATTTGTCTCTAAAAAAAAAATCCAAGGACTGGGGGTGTGGCTCAAGTGGTAGAGTGCCTGCCTAGCAGGCTCAAGGTCTTGAGTTCAAACCCCGTAACACCAAAATAAAATAAAAATTTTAAATATCCTTGACTTTTCTTGTTTTGAGTCCAGAATATGATATTACCATATGTCTCAAAACTCATAAAATGAATTACTGGATGGTGGGAATAATTTTTATTTCCTTCATGCCTCTATAAACTGATATACCTTACAAAGTGGGATCACCCTTAATATGTAGTTTGGTATCCAGGTTTGAAGTGATTTCCCATTAAATGCATAGTAGTCCTCAAAAGTATTTAGCTGCATCATAAGGACCACCCATAATTCAGCTATAACTCCATCACTGTTAGCTATTTGGGTTGTTTCTTTTTGTTTTTGTTTGAGATAGGGTCTCGCTATGTAGCCCATACTGGCCTTGAAATCCTGATCCTCCTGACTCAGCCTCCAAAGTGGTAGAATTACAAACATGTGCCACCACCTTGGCTGTGGGTTGTTTCTAGTATTTTTATTTTTCAAAATAAGTGCGAATGTGTCTGAGAAAGGGAGCTAAAGGCAAACTTTTAGCTTCCCCTGCCTACAGAGCAATTTTAACTTGTGGAATGACTTGGTTTCCACTGAACTGGAGACTCTGGGCAAGGGGAATAGGAAATAGAATCCCAAGGCACCATAGGCTGTCTACCTGAGGCTAGGACACAATTTCAGTAGGTGGGTACTCACTGAGCAGTGATTCAAAGGAAGTCAACGTCGAGTGGAGTTTACTATCACTGGCAGGTGGTCCTACCCCACTTACCTGCCTGAAGAAGTGTGGCGGCCTGCCTCTGCCTCTCCTGCTTTCGGTGCTTGTGTTGCCTCCAGCCAAACTGGATGCAGCGGGCACACTGCTCCAGCACCTGTGTACGCCCACACTCCAGAAGTTCTAGCTGGGAGAAGTGCATTCACTGAGTTCCTCAGTCTTTCCTCTCCCCACCCTGACAAGGCCCACACCCCGTCCTGTGGAGGTCAGCTTGCAGCTGGCTTTGGGAATCTCACTCCCCAACCAGCTTACCATGGAGTCAGTCATGAACACCTTGGTCCTGCCGCAGTGCAATGGGACTGGTGTGGTCTCAGCTGGGGCATCAGATGTGTCTGCTGTCTGAGTTAAAGTTGGCAAAGTATGGAGAATGTCCTGAAGGAGAGGTTGCAGCATGGCCTCCTCAGTATGTGGAGGCTGTTCTGGAGGGTGGGAGACAGAGGAGCCATCAGAACTTGCTCATCTCCACAGCTTTCTGTAGCCTGAAACAACTGGCTTTAGTCTCCCAAGAGCAGACTCTAAGTCTATTCTCTGTTATCTTGTCTATAGTCATTTCTTCCTCTTCTCCTTTTCTTGGGGGAAACTAGAGGAAGCCTCTCTATTGTCCCCCAGGGTCCTGGCTGTTCTGAGAAGTTTTAAAGTCCTCCCTGTGGCTATGCCATGGAGTGTCCTGCAGCCTTCTCTCTCATGCATCTCTCCGAACGGTCTGACAAGAGGAACCTGATGCCCAGCAGAGTGAATCCCAGGCTGCTTGGCCAGTGGGGTTTTGTTGGGTTTTTTTGGTGGTGGTGGTGGTACTGGGGTTCGAACTCAGGGCTTGTACTTGCTAGGCAAAGCGCTCTATCCCATGAACCACTCCACCAGCCCCTTAGCCAGCATTTATTTCCAAGGCCCCGGATAGTCTCAGGGCCAATCAGGATAGCCAGGTCACTCCCTCAGCCCCTGACCCATCTCTCTGCCACATATGGGGAAAGGGAGAACAAACCCCAGTTCCTCAAAGGCCCAGAGAGACCCACTCCTGCCCTCCCACACCTCACAGAGTTGACTCCCACGCAGGATTACCTGAGGACTCTGAGCGCCTTTAGCTGCCCTGTGCCTCTCTGGAGACAGAGGATGCCAAAGCAGATGCTAGAGATGAGAGAGCCACAAGATCGACCAGGGCCCAGAGGGGTTTGGGTAAGAAACAGACAGGACAGCAAACCACGGAGAGGAGAAACAGAGAAGAGAGAGTGAAAGGAAAGTAACACAACTACCCACGAGAGGATAAGACAAAGCTGAATTGTTTCAGGAGGGCCTGACGGGGCCCAGGATAAGGCTGGAGGTCAGTGGAAGCACCTGTGGCTAGGACCTTGCGCCCTGTCCTTGGTCTCCTCTCCACCTGTCCCTGGCCTTTATTACTCCCTTAGTTTCAGTTTGTGCAGCTACCCACCAATCACCTTCAATTGTAGCCACTACCCAGACCTTTGCCCGAGTTTAAAGCTTGCCCAAGTTCTTTGCAGACATCTCCACTAGACTCCCGAGATGGGAAGCTTAGGTCCCCATGGCAGGGTTCTTACCTTCCCCAGACCTCTCTTCCTCTGCTCTGCCCCACTGGCAGGGCCAAGTCCATTTTCTCCTCTGCTTTCCGTCTCCATCTAGTCAAGTGCCTACCAAGACTGGCCAGTTTCTCCCACATGGTTTCCAACTGTCTACATCTGTGGCTTCTCAACTTTGACAGCTCTGTAGCCTCACTTCCAAGACCCTCCACAAGGTCCCCAGAGGGCTCTCCAAAAAGCACAATGCTGATGGGAGGCACTGGCTCCCTTCATCTGTCCAGGTTCTTTGACCAGGCTCCACTTGTCACCTCAGCCTCACCTGCCATCATTCTTTCCTGATGAGCCAGCAATAACTGTGTGGCCCAGAGTTCCTCACACACACACTGCTGTCTCATGTCTGGATGCTTCTGTTCAGGTTACCTCTGTCATGTGCAATGACCATCACCTGGCTAAGCCAATTTAGCCCCACAATGCCACCTCCTCCAAGAAGCCTTCCCCAGTCCACACCTCCCCAGTACTGCCCACAGCAACATGTTCATAGCTCTGCCTTTCCATGTTCCATACCATTGAGTTGTCTTTTATGAATGTGTTCTCCCCACTGAACCAAGAACCATTCATCTGAACCCCCAGTCCTGAGGGGGCATAGGTAGGAACTTTGTAACCTGAGGTTGAACAGAATGACAAATAAATGGGCCCCACTTACCAGCGGGCCCTTTGGTAGGATATGGGCTGTGGAGGCCAGAGGATGTTCGAGGATGGAGCCTTCTTAGTAACGCATATCGCTCCACAAAGTTCTGGTGAGAGACCCTGGAAGCCAAAGGAGGCAGAAGAGAATGACTTCCTCTGTGAACCAGGTACATCTCCTGGCCCTCAAAAAAACTGTTCTATTTAATTTGCTGAACAACCCACTGATGCGCTGCCTTGACTATGCCTACTGACTGGATACGGATGTATTCTAGAGAGATGCAGGATCACTTAGTGGGAAGCCCCTGGGGACCATTTTAGCTTGTGTCTGTTATTCCTGCTGCCTGGGGTGATCAAACAGCATCTTGTGTATTTAACAGGATGTGCAGCCTGCCTCCACCTAAAGGGGTTGACAGGCCTCACCCCAGGACAACTGCACAACTCCCATGATCCTTGGCCAGCTTCCCATCTGACCCCACAGCCTCCTCTTGGTTTCTCTGCTCCCTGGCATAGCAGCACTTCTCTAAACAACTAACTGATGATACCTGGTATCTGTACTTCCTCCTCCCACCTGATCCTCAGCCCTCCCAAGTTGCTTTTGTCACCAATACTGTGTCAATGTGGCTCTTGTCAGCCATCACCAAACACAATACCACCAAACCCAGGGGCCAATGCTCTGCCCCTGGGCAGCAGCTGACCCCTCTCCCTTGTGGACCATTCTCTCAGCCTCCAGGACACCCACAACTCTGTCCAAGTCATCCTTGCTCATTATCCACACTGAACGTGAGCCTTCCTTAGGGAGAGGCCTCAGTCCCTTTTCTCCCTCGGTGACTTCCTCCTTGCTGTGGTGCTAAAACCCATGATGAAGGACCCTTATGTGTCCCTCCAGTTCTCACAGCTCTGGTGAGCCCTGTCCCTCAGCCTTCTCAAACCTGCCAAGGCTATAAGACAATTCCTGATCCTGACTAGGGCCTTCACACCTGGGCCTCCTCCACAACCCATTTTGGTAAACTGCCCTCTGATTCAATCATGTATATTAGATGGAAACTGGCAAGTTGCTTTTGCAACCTGGAAGTTGACTGCTCCTGGCCCAACATCCCCACTCTCCCACTCTCCCAAACTCCCATCCCCAGCCCCCTGATCAAATCCATCCACAGTCCTCTTCCTATTGCAAGCCACATTCCAGTTCCCTGGCTGCAACCCTGTCTTCACTGCTGCCACCACTCATCTGTACACCCTTGACAGCCTCCTCACTCATCTCCCCCCACCACTTCTATCCAGATCCCACCTCCAGCTTCCACAGAGCAACACAGGGATTTTCTGTGAGCATGAATAAGCTTCCACTATCCCTTATTTATAACATCCATTAGCTTCTGCTACACTCAGGACAAACCACCAAGTCCTCTCAAAGCTGTACAAGGCTCTGTGTGTTCTCTGTGGCCCAGTCCCTTGAATATTGCCTCAGTTCCTTCCAGGTTGTTGCTCCCTCAGTCTGGATTCCACTCTGGTCCTCCATATCTTCTAGGCTGGCCCCTTCCCTCTCCATAGGCCCAAACTGCTCACAGGGTCCCTCCCCAACCAGCCAAGGATCCTATCCCTATTTTTCCAGCTAACAGCATGTTTTTCTTCTTTCCTATCACCAGTTATACTTCATACTCTATTTCTTGTTTCCAATTCCTTTTTAGGAATGTATGCCCTAAAAGGCATACATTCTCACTAAATTACTAAGGCCTAATTCACTAATACCTCAGCAAAAATGGTGCTTGGTATGAAATAGGATACCATAAGTGAACGGATAAATGACCAGGTGCCACTCTTTGAGCTCCTCCTCAACTTCTACAAACCTGCCTCTTTTCTCATCTCCATCTCCCACTGTGGGTTGGGCAGGTTTTTGTTTGGCCTGAGTCCTGACCTCCACTCTAGCATTGGCCCTGGCCCTGCCGTAATGCTGTTCACTCACCGGATGGGGAAGCCAGCAGCACTGATGTGAATGGTCTCCACAAGGCCACAGGCCTCAAGCTGGCTCAGGACCTGCAAGGGTAGGGAGACAGGGTAGGCACCTGCAGGCCAGAAATTCCATGCCTTCTGACCTTTTTCCCAGAGCTGCAGGCTCTCCCAAGGCTTGGCTGGTAGAGGTTCTGTCTCCTTGGGGCAGTGGGAAATCAAAGGACCCTGGAAAATCTCCCCATTATAAAGAGTCCTAAGGGTCCCAGGTCCCTCAGTCTAATGCCAGGCTTTTGATGCGGCTAACACCTCCTGTCTCTGTCTCCTTGCCTTCCCTGGGGCAGACTCACTAACTCACAGTGCAGCCTAAACCTAGTTTTCTTTTTTTTTTTTCTTGTGGTACTGGGGCTTGAACTCTGAGCCCCAATGCTTGAGGTTCTCTACCACTTGAGCCACTCTGCCCGCCCTTTTGTATTGGGTATTTTCATGATAGGCTCTCACAAACTATTTGTCCGGAACTGGCTCTGAACCGTAATCCTCCTGATCTCTGCCTCCTGAGTGGCTAGGATTACAGGTGTGAGCCATTGGTGCCCAGCTCCAAGTCTAGTTTAGACTTTTTTTTTTTTTTTTTTTTCAAGCAATAGAGGGGCTTACAGCCAAGGAGCAGGGGAAGTTATATTGAGAAGATTCTTCCATAATCTGAACCTAGGTCTTTACCACACAGTCAAGTGGTCCTGGCTATGAATCCCAAGGCCACATTTACCAGATGATTGTGGGACACTCTTCAGCACCGTCCCATACCACATGGCATCCACATCTCTCAGAGCCTGGTACCCTGAGGAAAGGATAGCTGCTTTTGTGCAAATTAGAAAAAGCAACACCTCCAGTCAGAAATGACAACACTGGCCAGATGCCGGTGGCTCAGTCTGTAATCACTCAGGAGGCAGAGATCAGGAGGACTGTGGTTCAAAGCCAGCCCAGGCAAATAGTTGGTGAGACCCTATTTGAAAAACCCCATCACAAAAAAAAGTGCTGGTTGAGTAGCTCAAGGTGCGGGCCCTGAGTTCAAACCCCAGTATCGCAAAAAAAAGAAATGACTTCACTGTGCATGGGGTGGAAGGTGAAGCAGGCTTTCAGCTAATCACAAAAGCACCCATGTTTAGTCTCTAGTCAGGCACATGGTTTAGTGAGTAGAGCGCAAGATGCACTGGAGCCCCCACTCACCACCTTGGCTAGATCACCGTGCAGTGCACAGACTACACAACTATACATGACTGCCCTGCCAGAGCAGGGAAAATAAGTCCTCCCAAATGTAAGGCCCAGCCTGAGAGGATTCCTGGTCACTTCACTGGAGCAGATGTTCTGCACTTCATTTCCCCAGGAGTTGACCAGCTAGGGCTCAGTGCAAAGCATCTTTGGCCCAGTGTTAATTACCTCCTCCTGGATAAAGGTCTGTGGCTGGCTCTGGCTGTTGGGCTTGATGCAGCGAATGTAGTGAGGCGTGGTGCTGTGTAGGACCTGCAGGAGCTGTTCCAGTGAGGCCTGCAGATGGGAGAGACCTGGGGTTAGCCAGGGACTGCAACTGTGGACCCTGATGAGTGACTACATCAATTATCTCCTGTGGCCCTCCCACCTCTGACACCAGGATCATCATGAGTCCTAGGACAACCAATTGACATTCTTGCTGCGCATGCTCAAAGCATACCCCTTCCTGACTCCCAGTGCTCCTTGTCCATCTCCAAGGATTCTTATGGACCTGTGACCCTCACCTGATTGTTTCTCCCAATCCCTCCTCCCCAGAGCAATCTTCCTAGAACAGTCTCACAACCTTTTGCCATTCAATCAGGCAAAGCTGATATTAAACACCCATCCTGTGTGCTGGAGGCTGGACCAAGCCTGGGGAAATCTGTTGCTGTCTCAGAGCTTAGTTTACTGGGTGACACGCACATTGGATGGGTCCCCTCAGTCGTGTCTGAGGCTGGGAAGGATAGTGATAATAAACCTGGGCTTCCCAGGGTGCCTCCTCAAAGTGAGGATAAATGAGGGTTGATGGATAAAAAGCAACAAGCTAAGAAAAATGGTGTGGGAGGTGGGAGTGAGAGGAGTTGAAGAGCAGGAGTCAGGAGGTCCCAGGAAGGTGAGTGGTAAGTATAGGGCTGAGAGCATAAAGAAGACAATACTGGAAAGGATAGTCCAGTAGAGGACAGGATTTGAGCAGGACTGGGTTACAGTTTCATGTAAGTACTGCTCTCCTGTGGCTTTCCTATAAGCAAAGGATGAGACCCCCACACCACAGGCCCCTAGGCTTCCCATATATCATTATACCCGAAGGTTTATTTGTCTCTTTTCTGTCTCTGTCTTCTACACTGAAGCATAAACTCCATGGAGACTAAGACCATGTCTGCCTGACTCGTTGCTATTCCCCAGCTAGCAGCCCCAATCATGGGAAGTGACTGATGAACATTTGGGAGATTGATGAGTGAAATGAGCATACCATATTAGTACCACCAGACCTACCTTAAACTTGGACACCACGGTCAACACAGGGGCCCTGCCCTGGATAGAGGGCTCCTCCTGGGTCTTCTCTTTGGGGTTAGTAGGAAACAGTGCAATGAGCAGGGGGTCTTGGGATTGCTGCAGGAGCTCAGTCAGCTCAAGGGGAACAGGGTCCTATTGAGAAAGAGCAAGGGGACAGGTGAGGGCATATGGACTGCTCCCTAACACTGTCCAAGGCCTGACACCCATGTCCACCCAAGCCCTAGAACCCAGGACTTTCAGGGAAGGCAGGGCCTGAGTCCTAGAGAAGGCAACCAGAGTCCTGCTGGCCAAACCAGAGACCCAGACTCAGTCTCCCGGGTATATCTGGCAGGTCAGGCTTACTAGCAGAGACCTCAGGAAGGTGGGCCTAAGATGGCGATCCTAGATTCTTGGGAGGATGTTAAGGAAAGAGGACACCTGATGGCCAACTACTATGTTCACAGGGCAATGACTCAGCTTCTCATTTCACACAGGGTCCCACAGGACATGGTCAGGCCTCACTCACCTTGTTCTTCTCCACCAGGCCTGCTGTGTGGTACTGCACAGGTCCTGCAAAATGCACGACGATGAAGCTGGGCTCCCGGCTGAGTTTACTGTGGCCCAGGCAGGGGCTACCTGCCAGGGCACTTTCGATGCGTGTCTGGAGCTGGGCTGCACTGCTCGGCCGATTGAGGCGGCACTCCTGTGTGATGGGAGAGTGCAGTAGGCCACAAAAATGAGATCTCACAACCCTCACTGTCCCCACCATCTGGCTCCATGGCAGCTGAGTTGTCACACAGGCAGCAGTGGCCTCAAGAGGGAGAATATAAGGACTAGCTAACCCACTTGGCAGATGAGGGGGACAGGCTAAGGGAGTACAGAATCAACAAGGCCCTGAGGGTTGGAGGTGGGGGGGATGTGGCCCATACAATGTATACGCTTGTGAGTAAATGTAAAAATGATAAAATTAAAATAAATAAAAATAAAATTAAAAAATGGAAAAAAATCATCAAGGCCCCAGAAAAGGCCCCAAGGTCAACTCTTGTGTTCAGCTCATTAGCTGACCCTACCTCATTTATGAGGGAGCAGATGCTGACGGGGCTCCCCTCGATGAGATTCAAACAGGTCTGGTTGTCTTGGTAGTTGACAAATGACCACTCCAGGCCCTCAACTGCATATTCCTCCTAGGGGAGAAGAGAAGTGATGTAGTAGAAAGTGGCTGTAGTCTGAGGCCTGGATGGGCCACCCATGGCTGGCCACAGTATAATAGCATGTTCTAGAACAGCATCAAAGAAAGAACAAAAATACCATATATATGAGGATCCACAAGGACAAGTTCCGCCCCACCAGTCCCTCACCTGCTGTGCCCTTAGATAGTGAGCCACAAAGTGCTGTTGCAGCTTTTCATTGGCATAGTTGATGCACAGCTGTTCCAGACTGTTGTCAGGAAATGACTCAAATCCATATACATCCAGCAGGCCTGGGAAGGTGGAACAGAACCATGGGACCATCACGGGAACAAGCAAGGGGCAGAGGAACTACAGGAGCCCAGGGTGACTGGACCTTTGATGAGGCCTCGTACTTGGCAGCCTGGGAGAAGGTTAAGTGGACATGATGCCAAATGACAGGCTAAGCATACCATCCTGTCCTCTGTCCCCTTCTCAGGGTGGCTCCTATCACTACCCTATCCCCTTCAGAGCAGGCAGAAAAGCCAAATGAGGTGTGAAGGGCAGTCCAGGGCACTAGGCCTATTTTTGAGTTTGAGTCCTTTGGCCCCTCCTTGAGGATATCAGGTCCCAGGAACCGTTTTCTTTTAGTTTGAAGAGTCTTGGTCTTACCAGCTAAGTTGGTACCTAAAATCCCACCATTAACTGCACTGGCACCTCTAAGCAATCACTTATTATCTGACCGTCCCACCTATGGTTATAACAATGTTGAATGAGTCATGTCTCCCAGTCTGGTCCTTTTGCCTACTACCCTGCTAGAAATGGAGCAGGGTCTCTGGGAGAACAGGGCAGTGATAGACAAGTCTGAATCTGTCTGGAGAGCCATGGACAGGTCAGATGTGGGCACAGGAGAGCAGAAAAATCACCCCAACACTGGTGGACAGATGGAAGAAGAGACAGGACAGAAGGGAAACAGCTGCCAGAGTCACACAGAGGGGCTCCTGCCTCTCCATCCTGGGCTTTGCTACTTGTGTTCTAGAGGGTTCTTAGCATGGTGAGCCCTTGCTACCTATGAAAGCAGTCCATGAGTTCGGGTCTGCACAGATGCTACTGTTGATCACTGACACCAGCCAGTCGAACAGCCTATTGGGAAGAAGAGAATAGTGAGTGTTGAGAGGGGTTTAGGCTCAGCCTGGGGTGGCAAAATTGCTCCCCAGCCCAGGTGCCACACCAAGGAAGGCCCTATATTCTGACCCTGACAGACCAAAGGTTGAATCCCTTCTTCCTGCCTTCCTTCCCATCCCGTCCTGACCAGTTGCAAATGCAGGTTCTTGGTGTGTGTGCTCTCACATACACACAGACTTGGGTCTGTCCTCCAGCAAGACTGAGCACAGGGCCAGTGAGGCTTCTGGGCCAGATAAGGCATGGGTCTTCACCAGTCACATGACCAGACAACACAACTGGTGTTGTGAATAGAAGGGACTGTAGTCAGGCACAGGTGGGGTTTGTAAAGAACTGAGTTCACTGAACTCCCCTGCAAAAGGCTCAAGGTCCTGCCACATCCACTGATTCAGTCCCACACAGTGGGCTCCAAGTCACCTGAGCAACAATGGCATCCTCCATTCTGGAGCCATCCCAACCAGAGAAGATATGATGACTGTACAAGGTGGTGACAAGCACAACACTGATCAGGGGTTTCTTCCCTGCAATTGTTCTTAAAGTAATTACTCTGCAACTGTTTTTCAGTTCAGCAAATAGATTTTTTTGCAACATGGGCTTCAAACATTCATTTGAGGAACTAAAAATGAATTAAATAGTGTTATAATGACTGGTGGTTTCTGTGTGTAAAATGATCTATGGTTAGAAGCTCATTCTCTCTGTGATGCCATGCTTTATCTGTTAATTTTGCAGTAACTTCTAGCCATAGACTTTAAAAATTTTTGACCTGAACTGGGCATCATGGTACATGCTTATAATACCAGCACTTGGGAGGCAAAGGCAAGAGAATTCAAAGTTTGAGGTAGTCTGGGCTACATAGCAAGACTCTATTTTAAAAAATAAAGGGCTGGGGATGTAACTAAGAGGTAGAGTGTTTGCCTAACATATGCAAGGCCCTGAGTTTGATCCCCAGGACCACAAAAACAAAACAAAAAACTATACAAACAAAACCTTTGACCTAAAATTCCTTTGAGGCAGTGATGCCTGAGTCTCTTGTTGAAATGGGTTGTCATTTCGAACTCAAGAGGATTTTTTTCCCTAGCAGTTCTTCTCAGGCTATTGGCTCATGAAAGAAGGGGAAATCCTTTCCCCAAAGGCTGCTCAAGGTCACATGTTTTCATCTCATAATCTTAGAGGATTCTGGGTCTATGGCAGTCTGAAGCTTTTCAGAACAAGGTGAGCCCATCCTTGACTGTATGATAGGCAGAGGGTGGAGGTACCCACGTAGCCCCCCAGGAAAAGCCAGGGCCACCTTCCCTGCTGTGCTGGGCTTCCACTTGCTGTATGCTATGTTGCTCATGACTATGGGATGAGCCTTTGGCTCCACCACCGCCTATACAACTCCCGAGGTGAGTAACGTAAGGCCTTAAGTACTGGGGAGACAGAGGAACCTATTCATCCAACGGTCTGAACCTGGAACCATAAAGATGCCAGATCACTTTTGGGGCCTGCTTTGTCAATGGAGAGTAGACCAGGCATTCCTCACCTATTGCCAAGGTCACAGTAGGCTCCGATACTTGAGTAATGAGCTGAATCTAGGTCAGGAATGTGGCAACTTCTCCATTCAGTATTAGAGGCCAAGGGCACAGTTCAGGGAAAACCTTGGGAATCATGCCTGCTATCCCCAGGGGTCTGAGAAACTGATGCACCCCTGTCCCAGGCCTACATCTATTGCCCAATGGGTCTGGTCCAACTCCAGATAGGGTGAGAAGCCATGGGGAGGCCAGGGCCCAGAGAAATTAGAATAATACTTACCGTGCATAGACCAGTTTGGCCAAACAGTCTCTTCGTGTGTCACACTCAGCTCGGGAACAGGGCTTCCGGAATACTTGCTGCTGTTGCTTTCCTGCCCTGATGGTTCTAATCCGCAGTGTTTCCAGCAGCAGGTCAACTGGGAGCTGCAGCAGCGAGGCTGATGTCCTGACAGAGCCTGGGAGGGGTGAGTCCTCCTTAGGCAAACACTATCCATCCAAATAGTCACCCTCACAAGGCACTGTGAGGTCATCACAATGGAACCATGACCCACTCAACTGGACAGAGGAACCCAGGTTCTAATGGATGAAAAGACTTGCCCAAGGCCACCATAGGCACCAATGGTGGCACTCAAAGTCAGAACTTCTGTGTTGCAGCCCACCCACACTTCCAGGGCAGGACAAATCATCTTACAAACCCTCTGACTCTCATTGTTTCATTTATAAGGTGGAGGTGGTAGTGTCCACCTCACCAGAGAGGGAGTGAGGAAGAAATTATCTAGGGAGGAGAGGTGGTGAGGAGCAAACTACCTTGGCAGGGCCCAACAGCACAGGTTTAATCAATGGCAGCAGACTGAAACCCGCCCCCCCCAATCCCATTAACATTGGCCACTTTCCTGCCATGGCCCACCCTGCTCCCCAACCCTTGCCCCTCACACTTGGCATCATCCATTAGTTGGCAGGGTTGGGCTTCATCCTCAGAGTCAGCAAACCAGATATTGCCAAGATGCAGCAGCCCAGCTAGGACCTGAGGGGGCAGAAAGGATGGTCAGGAGCAGGACACCTGCAGTGAGCCAAGTCCTGCAGCTGAATAGAGTTATGATAACAGAAGAGTAACACTTCTGTACAAGTCACAGACATCACCACTCAATCTCTTCAGCAACTATCAGCCATGTGCTATGATGATGCCCACGACAGAGATGGGGCTGGGAGAAATTAAGTCCCAAGCTCGAGGACACACACTAAAGACCAGGGGAGGGGGGTGGGAAGTAGCACAAACAATGTATACACATGTAAGTAAATGTAACAACGATAAAGTAAAAGGAGAAAAAAACACAGAAAAAGACAGGATTAGAACACAGTCAGTCTGACTCAAGGTTCCTCCTAAGGCAGCCAGCGGGATTCCCATGTCCACCCATCATCTGTCCCTACATCTCCCCACTTTCTAGGAAAAGACAATGTCGGAACATTCCTCCTGTTGATTGTGGACCAGGGTTACTTCTGTGTCTGCTGGGGACTTGGCTGTGGCTTCCTGAGGCCCTTTCTCAGCACTGTTGGGCTTATAATGGCCCAGCTGTGATCTTGGTCTCTGTACAGGGCATGCCACCCTTCTGTTTTTGCACTCAATGATCTGCATAGACAAACGCCCAAAGGTGATGAAAAGGAGAACAATCTCCAGGCCCAGAAACCTCAAAAACCCTTGGACCTGATACTAGGAGAGCAGAGCCCCTCCTGCCATTCCCGTCTGGTCCTAGGCAGGGTACTTCTATACGCTACTGGTCTTCTGGCCATAACCTACTTCAGGAGAAGACTGCTGTGCAACGAGCAATGGGGCTGTCGCAGAAAGTCATGTCACCCCCAAACCAGCACTCCTGCCCAGACTCTTAGTATTGTCCACACCTTGGGCTTGTCCTCATGTGCTGTCTTCTGGTCATGCTCTTACCTCACAGTGTCCATACTGGGCATGACAACCTCCCTACCTGGGTGACCCCTACCCAAGGTCATCAATTTCCATTTTGATCTTGAAGTGGCTTCCCCATCTCCACTGTCAGCCTATCCTATTTGTCTCCTCTGTTGCTCTGTGGTGAGGCAGTGAAGGGAGAGGGAGGCAGTTAGCCCTCTCAGCAAAGGCAGAGGAAGAAGGGAGGCATCAGTGTGGAAGAGAAGAGCCCAGTTCACCTGGGGTCTGAGAGGGAGAGGCAGGGGGCTAGGGGTGTAGGGAGGAGTAAAAGAGAAAGGAGGAAATTTGGGATGACTACATCTGGAAGAAACTTTATCATTTAGTAGTGTTTGGCCTGATTTTCTCAAGCATAAAATAGAAGTAATCTCCATACACAACAAACTGTTGATGAAACCAAGTGAGTGCAGAAGTGCGAACATCACATTTAAATTTTAAAGTTATTACCGCAGTAATAAGTGACCCAAGCCTCTTGCTGTTTGGCCCTGTGGGTCATACTGCCATGTTCTGCACTCTGGCACTATGCACTGCATCGCCATCCATATGGCTCTGTCCAGTCCAATACCATGGTTGGCTCCTTGGAGATTGTACAATGGGTCCCAAAGTTCTAGATGCTTCAGCGAAAGATGGAGTCACAGTCCAGGGAAGGCCCATGAAATGGGATGCCTGTCACTCTGCCAAATGTAAGTGGGGTAGCTTTTTTTCTGACCTTAAAGATGTTGTTCTGGGAGGGGGTGTCAATGCCCAAATGGAGCATGGCCTCTCTGGTCACTTCAAAACAATCCTCTGAAAAAGAATCCATGTCATAGCCCAGTGGTCAACAGAGACAGTAGGGGGAAGGGGGCAAGCACTGTCCACAGTGGATGTGTGCTGTTGAGCCAGCCCAGGACTGGCAAGGTAAGGTTCCTCTTACCTTCCAAGGTCCTCTCCGGATTGGGCAGCCAGGAGAAGGTGGCTCCCTCAGGGAGGTGCCATTGGAGCCTCTCCTCTTCACTGGCTCCTTTGCAAATCTGTGGGGAGAGGTGGGAGGGATGGCTGAGCTAGGGGTTGTGGGGAGGGAAGCTCAGACCTCAGTAGGCCTGGAGGTGGGATGAGACGAGGAGAAATGGCAGCAACATGACAAGTCTGACAGGTCCTTGCATTTCTGCAGGGTAGGCACAGAGCAAAAGCAGCAGCAAACAGTCTTGGATGACTCTGACCTGATGCAACAGAACCCTGCTCTGGGAAAGCCTCAGTATGAAGAATGCACAATTCCTGCCTGGGGAGCACCTGTCTTGATTGGAGAGGGACATCTTCTACCTAAAGATGCTCCCAATCTGAGAGCAAGGAAGATCTCCTATCTGTACCCCAGGGACGCCCAGTCTAGGGAAGGGGTACAAGTAAGACCAACGTGGTCCTCCTTCTGTTAGAGGAGACAGCTCCCATCCTAGAAGAACCCTCAGTCTGATGAGTGTGACATAGCTTCCACTTAGAGATAAAGTCCCAGCCTCAAGAACCTCTGCTTTGATACAGGAGGAAAACACCCTTGGGCCAGAAGTCCAAAAACTTGTTCCAGTGTGAGGAAGAAGTCTTGCATATAGAGTTTATAGGAATAAGTAGCAGCACTGCTGAGAGCCAGGTGAAGACCATACTGGGGGTTAAGGGTTAGGGAGACTGGAAACACAGACCCATCCTTGCCTTACACCTGAGCACTATAACAGCACGCACCTGGTAGAAGATGTGGAAGTTCCTCTCACTGGAGGCTTGGCAGGCCACACGAGTTTTCTCCAGGAGGTAGGTCTGTACTGCAGCTCCTGTCATCTGCTGGGCCCTGGCACACACAGGTAGGAGCCATCACTACCTATTCATTTCATAGCCACTTATTTAGCACTAATTGTGTGCCAAATGCCACTTAGCAATTCCCTGCCAAGCTCTTCTACTTAGTGGGCTGGGGACCACTCAGAAAGTGCTTGGGTACTCTGAGACATTTCCTTGCATCTAACCCAGGTGGGCAAGACCAAGACCTTTGTATATCACTTCTGCCCTATCCCAAGGAAGAAGCAGAAGCTCTAACTTCAAGCTCAAAGCACCAAAGAGGTGGCAATTTAATAAGAAGTCCCTGAACATAGATGGAAGCCAGGAGGAATACACAGACTGTGACAAGAACACTGTTCCAGGGTCCCAAGGTCACAGTAGCAATGGCTCACCTTCAGAGTTCACTGATCTGATCTAAAGAGTCCTATATACATACATGTCAGGAGCAGAGTTTTGGCCACACAGGTGGCCTAATCTGGCAACTGTTTGGACCCTCCACCCTCCCATGGGCTAGGATGGCAGCTATTACCTGTTCAGCTGAAGCTGGATGAACTTCCCAAAGCGACTGCTGTTGTTATTCCTCAGCGTACATGCATTCCCTACAATCACACCTGTGTTCATACCACTCCCCTCCGGTTTGCAGAGTTCTCACAGGCCATCATGGCTGTAGGTCTGCTGGGGCCATGTCCCTATCAAGTCACCTAAAGGCCTCTTTGTTGGTTTTCATATCATGGGAGACAGAACCAGGGAATAGGCACTCAGGGTTCAGTAAATGGGATTCAGGAGAGTTAGAAACTTCCTAGCAAGGAACTGGAATGAACAAGTCTAGGGGTCAGGCTTTCTTCTTTGATGGCAAAGGTCAGAAAGAAGCTATAGTTATTGGCTTTAGACACATATCATCTGGGCTCTAATGTCACATGGACAGCAACAGCTGTGCATCCTTAGGTACTCTGGACATCAGGAAACTGGATGGAAAGACAGGATTTGGACTGGATGAGCCACAGGTCCTTTCCAGCACCACTGTTACATGTGCCTAGGCCAGAGGGACCAGGAGATGGTGAAATGACATCAGCTCTATTGAAAGGAGGCTAAGAGGGATCTGGGAGGAGGTTGGGGATCCAGGTAGTGAAGGACACAATCATCCTCCAACTCCCCAGTGAGGGTCTCAGAGCACTGCCCCTCTCCCTGAAGGTGGCAAATCCCAGAGGAAGTGGGACTGGGGAACAGTGCAGCTCACCAAAAGCTTCCATGACAGGGTTGGAGTTCAGGATCCGCTGTTCGATCCTCTCTGCAATCTTGTAGTTCTCCCCAGAAGTGGGTGAGGTGGCCACCACAGCGTAGAACTTCATCAGGCAGCGGGATGTCCATGTCTGCCGCAGAAACAGCCCTGTGAGGGTTGTGTCCACATTCCCTCACATTAGGGAGCCCTAGTGCCTGAGGGAGCCGTGCTCAGTGCTCTCTTCTCCACCATGCATCTTGCTGACCAAAGGGAAGAATGCTAATTAAACTTTGGCAAGGCATTCCCCTCATCTGTGAAGTGGGGGTGCACACCTCTGCTTATCTCAATTCTAGAGGATGCACTAAGAAACAAGGGGCCTGGGGTAGAGAAAGGACAACCCCTCTGACCTGTTCAGTATCTCTAAGGCCTCATAGCTAATTGATTATTCTGTGGTATGTGCTAAACTAGGGAGGCTTTCATGGCATTTTTTTTTTCTTTTTAACAAACTTTAGAGATGCCGGTATAAATATACATTTATTTTTATGATGAAACTAAGAATAGAAAAAAATTTAACTAAGAATAGAAAAAAATTTAATTTATTAAAGATCACCACAAAACCTAGTAAATGACAGGGTTCTGATCTAAACCTAGGCAAGCAAATTATAAAATTCTTATTCTTTGGTTTTAATCAGCTGAAGTGAAACATTCATTTTAATTTCCAACTAGGAAATTGTGTTGCTAGAACATAGAAACACAATTTTTTTTTCCCCTAAGACAAGGTTTTGATATGTAGCCCAGGCTGGCCTTGATCCTTTTGCCTTAGCCTCTTGATGGCTGGGATTATAGATGTTTGCCAATATGACTGGCCTATAGTTGATTTTTATATATTACCTTTGTGTCCCATCACCTTGATAAAATCTCTACAATTTTTTAGTTGTAAATTCCTTAGGTCTTTCTACAAAGTTGGAGATGTTTGTTCTTTTTCATTTTCTTAAAGACTGAGTAGAATTAAATGTTGGGTAGAATTCACAGGTGAAGCTGCTCGGTCCTTGAGCTTTCTTTGTCAAAATGTTACACACTTTATACATCTTTTAAAAATAGTCTTTCTAGGGATATGGCTCAGTGGTAGAGTACTTGCCAAGCATACCTGTGGAATCACTAGAGCCACTCCTCTAGTTCATTTTTGTGTTGGGTATTTTTTGAGATAGGGTCTCAGGAACTATTTGCCTAGACTGGCTTTGGACCTCTATCCTCATCATCTCTGCCTCCTGAGTAGCTAGGCATGAGCCACCAGTGACTGGCTTATTTTTGCTGGCAGTGCTAGGGACTGAACCCAGGGCCTTGTGCACACTAGGCAAGCACTTTACCACTGAGCTACACCAGCTCAAAACACAGTTGTGTGTGTATATAAAGGGTATTTTCTTTTTTTGCTTATTTTTTGTGGGGTTGAGGATTGAACCCAGGATAATAATTCTTTTTCCCTAGGTTAAGGTATACTATGGACTGAATTGTGTTCCTCCCCAAATTCATGTGTTAAAGCCTAACCCCCAATGGGACTCTACCTAGAAACAGGGTATTTAGGAGGTGATTAACACTAAATGAGGTCCTAAAGGTGGGCCCCTAATTCAATAGGACTGTTGCCTTTTAAGAAAATGAAGAGAGCCTTTTTCTCTCTACCTTACCAGGACACGGTAAAAAGGCAGCAGTATGCAAACCTAGGACAAAGCTTTTACCAGAAACAAACCCTGTTGGCCCCCAATGTTGGACTTTCAGCTTCTAGAACTGTGAGAAAATAAATTTCTCTAGTTTAAGCCATTCAGTGTATGGTATTGTTATGGCAGCCAGAGCTGACTCTTATAAGGTGGACACTCCGATCACTGATGTGAGTCCTTTGTTCTTTTCTAATATAAGCATTTAATACCACAAGTTTCCTCTAAACACTTGAAAGTGCAAATTTTGATATGTTGTACTTTCAGTTTAAAATATTTTCTAGTATCCTTTGTAATTTCATCCTTGACCCACAGGATATCTAGAAGTGTGTTTAATTTTCAAATGCTTTGGAATTTTGTAGGTGTCTTTGTTATTTATTTTTTTTTTTTGTGGGACTGGGTTTTGAACTCAAGGCTTTTTAAGCGCTCTACCACTTGAGCCACACCTCCAGTCCATTTTGCTCTGGTTATTTTGGAGATGTGGCCTTAGGAACTATTTGCCAGGGCTGGCCTCGAACTTTGATCCTCCCAACCTTAGCCTTCTAAGCAGCTAGGATCACAGGCATGAGCCACTGTAGCCCAGCTTGTTATTTACTTCTTGTTCAAATCTACTTAAGACTTAAAATACCATTTGTATGATTTTTAATACATACACAGACACACATACACACACACACACACACACACACACACACAGAGGCAGGACTAGGGTTTGAATTCAGGGCCTTGTGCTTGAGCCTCAGTCCTTTTAATCTTTTGCTTTAAGCCTTTTTTTACTATACCTGTTTTCAGATAGGGTCTCACCCTTTTTGTGTGGCTTGGCCTTGGGCTGTTATCCTCCTACCTATGCTTCCTGTGTGGCAAAGAATACAGGTGTACCACACCACATCTGACTTGTTCTTTGAGATAGTCTTGCTAACTTTTTCCCCCTGGCTGGCTTGATCCTACTATCTCCACCTCCCAAGTAGCTGGGATTACAGGTGTGAGCCACTATGCACAACTTTAGTGTTTTTACTTGAGTTTATCACTCAGAATGTGGTCTATACTGGTAAATGTTTCACATATATTTAGTAGCTACCTATTCCCAGCCACCCCCCTTGCTGAAAATTGAACCCAGTGGATGCTAGCAAGCACTCTACCATTGAGCTACATCCCTAGCTTTCAAAGTAGAATTCTGATTTTGTTTATTTCTCTTTTCAATTCTATCAGTTTTTGCTTCACATGTTTTGAAACTGCTATTAGGTACACACATATTTAGGATTTCTCTTCTTGACAAATTTACTCATTTATCATTATGAAATGTCTCATCCTTACTAACATTTCCTATACTTTGTTCCATGCTAATACAACCAGTTCATCTTTTCTTTGGTTATTTGATTACTGTTGCGATAGTACATCTTTTTTCGTCTTTTTATTGTGGACCTATCTATGCCTTTATAACTATTGTAGATACCTGAAGATATCACGTGAGTCTTGCATTTAAAAAATATCCAATCTTGGGCTGGTGGAGTAGCTCAAGTGGTAAAGTGCCTGCCTAGCAAGTGTGAGGCCCTGAGTTTAAATCCCAATTATTGCAAATAAATAAATAAATCCAATCTGACATTTTTTGTCTTTTAACCAGTGTTTTAACCTCTCAAATTATTACAATTATCATTACGGTTTTTTTTTTTATTGTTTTATGATTGGCTTTTAATCTACTATCTTTTCCTTTCTTTTCAATTTGTTCCATGTGATTTTTTTTTTGCCATTGGTTGAATTTAGTACTCTTATGATTCCATTTTATCTCCATAATACATTGCAACTATTTTTGCCATAGAATGAATTTTCTTTTGCTTTTTCTTGAGGGGGAGGGGAACAGTACTGGGGTTTGAACTCAGGGCTTTACACTTGCTATGTAGGTACTCTACCACTTGAGCCATGCCCCGGCCTTGCCTTGGTTGTTTGAGATAGGGTATACTGTGTAGCTTAAGCTGGCCTTGAATTTGCAATCCTCATGCCTCAGTCTCTAAACTTCTAGTAATCTAGGCATATACCACCACACCTGGCTTGAAATGTCTTTCTTTGTGAGACAGCATCTCATTATGTAGCCCAGGATGGCCTTGAACTCATCCTCCTGTCTCAGCCTTCTGAGGGCTGGGATTACATTACCATTTATTAAAAATAATTTAAAAAAAAAAAAGGTCCAGCCCATGGCTACATGGCTACTTAATAAAGGGTTACATGGGTTGCATGGGTCTTAGGCCAGGTTCTGCCTCAGTTTCCCAGAACAATTCTAGGGGACAATGAGCTTTGTCCAGGAGCTAGGCATTAGCCACTTCACTGGCTTCCTTGCTCCCAGAGATTCCCCTCCTCACCAGTCTAAGCCCTCATCCATACAATTTATTGTCTTTGTTTCCCTGAAAGCTGGATGCTGCATCTTTCCCCTCAGTGCTTAGTCCACAGCTGAGAACCTGGCAGGTACTCAGTGTTTGACAATTCTCTCATATGTGAGTGTAGGCAGGAGTTTATGGTCCTAAGAATCTCTCAGGAAGTAAATGTGCTGTGGAAAGGAAGAGGCAGCTGGGTGAGGCTTGTCAAGCAGGTGGTGAGCCATGGATCAGTGGTCTTCTCTGACCAGCTATGGAACTCTTTATTCATTCTAATGCAACATTCTGTCTCTCCTGTTGTACGACCATCGTGAGGCTTCATGGCCACATAAGAAGCTTCTGGCCTCTGCCATAGCTGGCCAATGCACTGCTCCATCACCACTGCAACCTGGAGAATTTTTGGGTTTTTTTTGTTGTTGTTGTGGCGGTACAGGGGGTTTGAACTTAGGGCTTTGTGCTTGCTGAGCAGATGCTCTACCACTTGAGCCAATCTCCAGCCCCCCAGAGGGCTCTGATGAACTACTCCAATAAACTCTTTACCACAGTAACCCCAGCTACTTTTGGAGGAGCACTGCCACATACCAAGTATGCCAGCAAGTGCCTTATGTGTATTTTATGTTGTTATTTGTTGAGAAAGGGATTACAGGCATGCACTACCATACATACTGTCACAGAAGTGCCAAGAGTAAGCTATTGGTCCTCCCCTCCATTTTACAAGTGAGAGAACTGAGATGTGCTCTTAACCAGGATACAGGAATCCCCAACAACTGACTATTGTTTCCAGGGGTACCCCAGCTGGCAGAGACCTTTGATGAGAAATGAAGGCCCAGGGGGCATAGTATCTCATCCAGAGTGGTAGCAGAGCTAGTGGTACAGCCTGCACTAGAACCCAGACCTTGACTATTGGTCCAGAGCTTGCCCAGCATGGACACTGACTTCCTGCTTTGGTTCACGTATCTGCAAATGATTAGGCAGCAAATGACTTCACAAGCACAGACCTCTGCCTCTCTGCCTACCCAGCTGGGTATGCACTAGCCCGCTTACCTTTCCAGCACCACTCTCTCCACTGACGACAATGGACTGGTTCACTGGCTCAATTAGGCTCTTGACATTCCTGTAGGTCTGTTCACCTACAGTGAAGATGTGGGGCTTCAACTTCTGAAACATCAAGGAGTGAAAGGTAAGCAAGGGAACAACTGTTTTCAGAGTGGTTGATCTGGTGATAGCCGAGATGGGAAGGCTGCTAAGAGCACTGCCAGAATGCTTCCTCCAGAAAAACTTGCTGCATAGAACAGTGTTAGGCCCAATTGTGGGACTCTAATGGTGGATTCACCCATCTTCTCTCAGCCTGGAAGTAATGCTGACCTGAAGCAGTTTGTAACATCAACATTTTATGCTTTAATAGTTTTATTCTGCTGTTTATTATTTTATGTTATTGTATTTTGCAATCTGCAAAAACTTCCATAAGTTATTACCTAAGAAGTCTGTGCATCAGCCAGGCACAGTGGTGCATGCCTGTAATCCTAACTACTTGGGAGGCGGAAATTGGGAGGATTGCTGTTCAAGACCAGCCTGGGCAAAAAGTTAGCAGAACCCCATTTCAACAAACAAGCTGGACATCATGGTACATACCTGTGATCCCAGCTACATGGGAGGCATAAGTAGGAGGACTGTGGTCCAAGGCTAGCTTGGGCCAAAAGCACAAGACCCTATCTGAGAAATAACTAGAACAAAAAAGGTTGGGGGATGTGGCTCAACTGGTAGAGCACCAGCCTAGCAAGTGCAAGGCCCGAGTTTAATCCCCAGTATGTGAAACAAACAAACAAACAAAAAATGAAAACAAAAGATTATCTGAGGTTTAGCTGAGTTAAATAACCTTCTAGGGCCACCCAGCAAATATGTAGTATACCCATGTGATTTGAATTCAAAAGCCACTGTTCTCCTTTCCTTCAGCAAATACGAATTATCCTCATGTGCTTGGCATCAAGCTGGGCACTGGGGAAGCAGAGGGGACCATGACCTGGTTTTTCCTTTGATGAAACAGGGCTGGTCATGGGTCACAGATAGGGGCTTTCAGGACAGACTTTCCTAGATTCCAATTGGACACTTCCCCTCATGTCAACTTCTGGAGAGCCAGGTGTTTGCATGGCGCTTCACCAGCCCAGCCAGCAGTGATGGCTTACAGCTTCCTGAGGGAGCAGGCACACATTCAGGACTGTTAAAACCATCCCTCTCTCCACTTGCCCTTGTCCCCGCCACCTCTCACCTGGACTGTTAAAAAGCCTCATTGTGTTCTCTGCCTTCTGTCACCTTCCTGAACCTAACTCCCAGAGTATTAACTCCCTGGTGGCAAGGAGGGGGATTCTGTTCACAGTTCCACCTTCCCTGGGATGAAGGAGCCATGTAGTCTGCCTACTGTGGTGCTTCAGATCCTTCACAACCAGCCCTGGACTCCCTATCTTCCTACCCTCATCTACTGCCTTCTTTCCCCACAGCTTCCCTCCTGCAAGTATGCCCTTGCCTCTCCCTGAATACCAAGCACTTTACAAGCCCAGTCCCTGTGTGTCTCAACACCTTCCATGCCCAAAATCATTTATTCTCTTCTTAGTAGAAGAATTTATTCTCCTCACTAGAGATGAATATGTGCTGAATATTCTAGGGCAATCTTTATTGCATATAATCTTAATTCTTTTTTAAAAAGGTAGTTAATGAAACACACAAACACACCTTTGCAAATTCTTTTGTATTAAGAAACCTACAATTAGCTGGGCACCAGTGGCTCATGCCTGTAATTCTAGCTACTCAAGAGGTAGAGATCAGGAGGACTGCAGTTCGAAGCCCGCCCCAAGCAAATAGTTCTCAAGACCCTATCTCGAAAAAGCCCATGATAAAAAAGGGTGCTGGAATGGCTCAAGTGGTAGAGTGCCTGCCTAGCAAGTGTGAGGTTCTGAGTTCAAACCCCATGTGCCACGAAGAAAAAAAAAAAATCTACAATTAAGAAAAGAGTCCTTTGCTCTGTATGTTCCTATTTTAGGTTCCAATCTCAAATAAATGTTTATATTCCACTTTGTACCTTTGTTCCTATAGGTCAGTTCTTTATGTGTCCAAATTTCTGAGAGTTCCTGTTAGGCAGGGTCATGCCATCAGCAGGCTTTGAAAGACTATGTGGCTGGTGAATGGATGGATAAGGGTGGCAAAGGTGCAGGAGGGCTAGGGGGAGGCCACAGAAAACTGCCGAACCTTACCTGGGGTTGAAGTGCAGCATGGTAATCTCTCATCAGCTCTGGTGTGTATAGCTGAGGGATGGGCTTAAAGGGGTTTAGAGCTACCAGGGTACAGCCAGCATTGGTGTAGAACAGGTCTGCCATGTACCGGGCCTGCAGACACCTCAGGACTGAGGCAAAGATGTTTTTAGCAAAGTCTGGTTCAAATACAAACAAAACGACACAGAAACACATCTGCCAAGTCTCAACACCCCTTCTATAATTATCCAAGTGCCATTACATACCAGTAACTCCTTGATGAATAGGTATCAGATTTAATTAAGATGACCCCTAAATTTGAAGCAAAATCTGCCCTGGGGAGCCCAGGTACAGCTGTCAGTTTCCCTGGAAGCAGGCCAGGTCAGGAGTTTCATCTGCTTGGTCTGAACAGGGGAAGCTGAATGGGATACCCTCATCCCATCTCCACCCTCTTAGAGACAACACTCTAGAGAAGGAGGCAGTCAATACCTGTCTCCAGTGTCACAGGATTCACCTTGGTGAGGTCATCCAGCTGGTGTAGCGGGGCCTCCCCACCCAGGAACTCCTGAAGGTCTTCTCTGAGGGATGCTGGACTTTGGGCATCAGAGCCGCAACTATGGCCATTTACCTGGATGGTAGAGGGGAAATACATGAAGGTATGATAGTTGGGACTCACAGCAAATGGCAGCTAATAAGGGCAAAGACTGCACAGCAGAAAGAAATCAGGTCTCTACAAGATCTAGACAGTTCTTCCCCATACTAGCCTGTGAGCCTGGGTAATTTACCTAGCCTCTCTGAGCCACAGCTTCTTTATTTATAAATAAAAGAAAATTAACTGACAGGGCTAGTTGGAAGAAAAGACAAATACAAAGCATTTAGTCAGGGCCTTGCACCAGTATGTATTCACTAAACGCTCTCCCATTTCCTCTACCAATAGCTATAGCCTAGTCACTTTCCAAGCTACCAGCCTTTCTGGGCCTGGTAGAAGTGAGGTCCAAGGGAGAGGCTGCTACAGGAGGGCGTCAAAGGAAAAGAACCATGAGATGGGCCTTGTTTGAGCCCATTCAGCTTGTGATGAAAAACAGCTGTACCTTCCCAGCGAAGCAGCCTCATGCCCTCATCATCTCCCTCGTGGCTTCAGTTTAGCTGGGAAATAAATTGGTCATTTCCTCTAGTGGAGCAAATGCCTGGCTCAGAAGGCTGTGTGAGATAAGAATGGGGATACCAAGGGGACCAGACCCCTTCTCCCTTGACCATCCTTAATACTGACATTTTTTCAGTGTGTGTGTGCTACTGGGTTTTTAACTCAGTGTCTACTTGAGTCATGTCCCCACCCAATACTGACACTTTGCACCCATTTCTCTTCCTGTCTGTTTCTTCTGGGAGGTAGAAAGGAGGGGGTAGGAGCTGAAGCCAAGCACCTAGCTGAAATTTGCTTTTTTTTTTTTTTTGGTGGTACTGGAGATTGAACTCAGGTTCTTAAACGTGTTAGGCAAGCACTGTACCACTTGAGCTATGGCCCTAGTCTAAAATCTAGTTTTGAAGGACAAGGTCTGTGATATGACATGTATGAGTTTCCAACAAGATTATTGAGCCCTAAATGTTCAAACTCCTAAAGTACAGTAATGAATTTTTTCCAAAGATTTTGCCAGTCCTCTGAACCTTGGGCCCTCCATAGTATGCAAGACAGGCTTTTGCCCTCATGTTGCAGTCCACAGGGCTGCGAGTGTGTGTGTGAGACAGCGAGAGACAGACAGAGAGGAAAGACAGAAGGAAAACCCACTCAAAGACCCCAGTGTTGATCCAACCAGAGGCAGCTGAGTTTGTTGGTCAAGAGCTTGATTTGATTGATTGCCTGATTTTGAATCCTCATTCCACTACTTACAAGTTGTATAATCTCACGTGAGTTTCTTAATCTCTTTTTGCTCAATTTTCCTCACCTCTAAAATGGGAATGATTATACCTACCTCACTGATATTAATGGGTTTGGAAAGTCATCTGGGGGGTTGGAGGCACAGCTCAGTGGTAAAGCACATGCCTAGCACGCAGAAATCCCTGGGTTCAACCCCCCAAACCCTCCCCTGGAAAGTCATCTGGAATATGACAAAAGAAGTTAGTTGTTATTATTCTTCTAAAAGTAGCTCTTTAATTAGAAAGGCCATAAGAATGTCGGTATATAGAACCATCTATGATTACAAAAGATTTGATAAAAACCACAATGACCAAACAGTAGATTGCTTAAATCATGCTACATACACAATGGAATAAAACATGTTACAAAGAAGTATAATACCTTACATTTTTTAAAAGTACATATATTTAAGGAAAAAAATCTAGGATAGTCTCTAAAATACCAGTTATCTCTTAGTATGATCTAATGTTCTTTTTTACTGATCCTAATTTTTGGTGGCACTGGGTTTTGAACTCAGCCTTAGGCTTCCTAGGCAGGTACTCTACTACTTGAGCTACATCCCAGTCCCTTTTTTGCTATTTTTTTTGTTATCTTGTTTTTGCCTGGAGCCAGCTGCAGGCCACAATATCTATGGCTTCCTGAGTAGCTGGGACCACAAGCATATGCCACCACACCTGCCTTATTGACAAAGGGTTTCGCTCATTTTTTTGCCTGGGGTTGCCCGGAACTTCAATTCTCCTTGATCTCCACCTCCCAAGTATCTGGGATTACAGCTATTGGGATTATGTGAGCCACTGAGCTCATTCTGTTTTTCCAAATTTCTGATAAATGAATGTGACCTTCAATCAGACATTTAACCTTTTTGAGCCATATCTCCAGAATGGGGACATATTAAAAGTACCATATAGTATGTAGTACTGTATTTTTCTCATGGAGATGTTATGAAGATTAAGTCACATGTAGCCCATGTACTACATAACATGGGCTCAACACAGAGCAGCTACTAGTATGGTTTTGGTAAACATTATTACATTTATAATAAAAAAATTAAATAATATAAAAGCCCAGAGTAGACAACTGTCCTGCCTGATTATCTCTAGCTTTCAAGTCTGTTTCGTGAGCTAAACAACAGGAAGGTCAAGAGGCAGTATTTAGCACAGTTCCCTTGAGGCTGGTTGGTTTCATACTTGGTTATCCTATTGAGTCTCAGGCACTTGCTTATACAGGACTTCACTAGACCACAAATTCCTTGAAGGCAGGTACCATCTTTAACATCTGTCTCAGCCCAGTGTGGCAGCAATACTTAGTAATCCATTCATCATAGTCCTTCTGTATTCCCAATAGGTCATTTTCTCCTGCATTTTTGCACAGGCTGATCTCTTCGACTGGATTGCTTATGTTCCTTCTCCACTTGGCTAATTCCTTTTTATTCTTTAAGGCTCAGCTTCAGAACCCTTCTTTTGGGCTAGGGGTACAGCTTAATGGTAAAGTGCTTGCCTATCAAGTGCAAGGCCCTGGTTTGATCCCCAGCACCATCAAAACACAAACAAAAATACCTCCTGTAAGCCCCAGGCTTCCACTCTATGTCAACAATATAGGCTGGCAGAGACATGCCTCAGGTTTTCCTCTCTGTAAGGTAACCAAAATGGCCTAAGGATTCCCTCACCTATCCCAGCTTACCCATTCCAAGAAAAAGAAGTAAAATAAATACAACAGGAAAGATTCAATTAGATACCAGGAAGAGTAATGGAGTAACTATTTGAAAAGAGAAGAGAAGGAAGACCTTTGAGGGTCTTTCCTGTCCTTCTAGTTAAGGAAAGAACCTTCATTTGGGCAAGCAAAAGGTGGGAAGATGACTTAGGTATGTTAAGGCCTGGGTTATGTAAGGTTACCTGCTGGAGCATCCTGCTTCAGTGTGGTCAGCCAAAATTCTGGGTTTCAGGCACAGGAGTGCTATTTACTTGGTCATAAGGCCATGGCTCAGGTCTGCAGGAATCTCAGACCAGTCATCCCAGAGCCTAAGGCATGAGAGAGAAGAGAAGGGCCACACACAGGTGAGGGCCTCCAGGGTGACTCATTCCTACTCCTCCCGCTAAGCAGGAGGAACCAAAATGAGAACCAGGGCAGGCCTGGGCAGAGAGTGAGAGTCTGCCCTTTCCCTTGCCAATTAGGGAACAGGAGAAACTTTGATTAGAGCCTCCAGAGATTCCCTCGGCTACTTTTTGATGTTGTCTTTACAGAAAACACCAGTGCCAGTTTTATTAGTTTTAAGGTTAGGGTTGGAATGGGGCTGCATATCTTCTGGGTCAGTATGCTGAGGAGAATGAAGACAACACTGGGAAGAGAGCCCCATGCCCTATCCTCTCTATTAGACCGAAGCATCCTACTTCAGTGTAGCCAGTTGGGAAGGGGGGCTGGACTCAACTGATGATCCAGGGAAGCTGATGTTTGAGAGGGAAATCATGGCTCTGTCATTTGTTGGCTGTGTGACCTTGGATAAGCCGTATCACCTAACTTGGAAGTCTTCAACTTGAAAATGGGAATAGTAAAATTTACCTCACAAGGGGTGTGAAGGTCAATCAGGTCATGGTTTGAAAACATTGTACAAAGTACAAATAAATCTCAATTTTGCTGAGGGTAAATCAAATGGATTGATAATCCATTTGAGGACCTAATCAAGTGGAACAGTCCATTGTCAACTTCAAAAAGGTGAGATTCAGGGGAGGGTAACCCATCTGAAAGAGGGCGTGCTGTGTGGCCTACAGCTGTCTCTGAAAAATATTAAGTGACACTTAGGCTTGGAACTTTCCAGGCCTCAACACCTCTCTCCCTGTAAGGAGGGATGAGGAGGACAAAGAATATCTGTAATGGCTTAACTCTGGTAGGGAGGTCTTGAGGCTCTGAATTCATTTAGTCTTTAAGGAACCCAGGGATAGGGAATTCCATGAAAACTAATAAAAAGAAAATTCAGGCAGAAAAGTGTATTAGGACTGTGCTAGAGACCTTCACCCTGGACACTGACTGCCCTCCATCCAAAGGACAGTCATGCAGAGGACTCTGGAGAATTAAGGAGAACGAAGCTCCCTCAACCAGTAGCTCATTTTGAGAAAGAAGTTCATTGGGGGTGGACAGCAGGGTGTGGGGTTAAATCCAAGTTTACAACTCCCCCCAATCCCCACCGGGGCACATCACAAGTTCTCTAAGCTTTATGCTTTTTGTACATTTCCAAAATGGCATAATGACATCCAGACCTCACAGTACTACATGAAAGCCCAAATGGGCTAGTACCTGTGAGAGCTCTTACTAAATGTTGGTTATTACCATGCAGCATCGGCTCCCAGCTGGAGTCAAGTCAGAGCAGAGTGGTTTTCTCCAGCTCCAGCTCTTGCTCTCTTCTTCGCGGTTACCACCAAGAATTTCTGGGAAGGGTGTGACTACAGTGGGCAGAAGGAAGTAATGAATAGGTGGAACATTCAATCAAGGCAAGTGGCAACCTATCACCAGCTCCTCCTCCTCCTGGCCTCGGCTTCTTTCTTGGTCTGAAAGATCGTGGGAAGGTAAACTCAGGGAAGGGCTGGGTAAGGGTCTTGAGAAACCAGCCGGCTCCGCCCCAGATTCCTGGCGGGAACTGGGATTCCTAGTCCGGGCGACTTGCCTGCGGTGCCCAAGTTTGGGATGCCCCTCCGGAAGCACCTGGCACGTGGAGAATATGCCCTTCCCGGGAAGGTGGACATAACCCCAGCCAAGGGCGCAGCTGCCTGATGCCTTTTAGGGCCAAGCGCCCCCTTCTTGTTCTGTGGGAGGGCAAAGAGAGGGGCGGACTTGGGCATCTGGACCATTCTGCCAGCCGGGAACCCCCTCCGAGGCCCCCTGCCGGCAAGGTGAAAAGGTGGAAGGTGACCGTGAAAGGTCCTTGTTCTGGGCAAAAGCAATGAGCTGGGACAAGAGAGGGTCAAAAAAAGGAGGGAAGAGAAACGCCGATTTGAGGAAGGGGAAGACACCACCTTCTACCTTAACGCTATGGGACAAACTGGGCTCCCTGGTCCCTTCAGGTCGGTGAAGGGCTCAGGATCTGGGCTGGGGGTGCCACTCACCGGTCCCACGGCCCCGTCCGCCTAGCGTGCAGTCCCCGCCGGGCCGACTGGAAGGGTGGGTGGGCCGTGTGAGCCGGCGGGAAGAGCACGGGAGGGCGGGCGTAGAGGGGGCGGGAGCCGCCGGGGAGGAGAGCGAGCCGGGATAGCCGGATCGCCCCCGGCCGGCTGCGGCTCGGGTTAAGTGGCCGGCGCCCGCCGGCTCCTCCCCTGGGGCGGGGCGCGCGCACGCGGCGCGGCGCGCACGTGGTCGGCCCGGGACGTCGGAGGTGGGTGGCGGGTTCCTCCTGGGATGGGGTAGTTTGAGACCCCGGGGTAAATAATGGTGTCATCATGGCCTCCCGTGTTCTTGAGGAAGAAACGCGGGAAGCACGGTCTCCCGGGTTCCCGAGCGCTCCCAGGGCTCGTTGGGTGGAGGTTGCCGCCACCGAATCTTGCGCCGGCTCCTCGGACCTTCACCCTGATAAGGCCTCACCATGGGGTCGGAGGCGCCACAGTTAGGCACCCCTTTCTCAGATCTGTCCATGGTCATAGCCTGAGAAGGCCTGGGCTGGAGAAGCCCAGCATACCGAAGGAAAGGCGCGCCTGCCTGGGCAGGGGCGTGCGGAATCTGCTGGCCCGGAAACGCAGGCTGCGCCGCGTAGGGCCGGAAGTGCCTCTTGGGAGGCGGAAGCGACCGGGTCCCGTAGGGGTGTCTGCACGGCCACCGCGCGAGTCCCTCGGCCGCGGTTTCCCGCGCCACCTGGGACAGGTGAGGTAAAAGGGCAGGCCACCGCTGAGGCGAGCGACGGTCAGCAAAAAGACTTTTAAAGGACATTCGATTCGGGTCACTTACGGTGAGAAACTGATGCAGGTCATAAATCGGGCACAACGTGTGCTACCTCCTCCTTCAGTAATGGTTCATGTTCGACCAACAAACGTGTTCTTCCAGTGTGCCACTTAAGACATTGATATGGGGCAGAGAGGTATTTTATATCCTGTTTTTTTTTTTTTAAAGCCGCCAGCGCGAGTACGTGTTGTGTATGCGGTGAAGCATTCTGGCAACCTGCGCCTTCACCTTGTGCAAATACGGCTGGCTGGGGCTCAGAAGGGTTCCTCATGTGTACCCCGATCCAAACTGTACTCTGCAATGGAAATTCCTATCTGACCACGACGCCATTCTCACTATTTAGATTCCAGGTTCACCTTTGTGTTTCTTTTACAGAAAAGTTAAAGCTTTCTACTAGTAATTTCATACTGTTGGTCTGACATGCCTGTCCTACAGCATCAGTGTTGGCTTCTCTCCACAATTCATGGATGGAGAATCACAAGTCCTAGATTCTGCCCCTGATTTGGTATCATTAGGACCTAAAGTTCTGCTCTGAAACCTGGGAATAAGAGTAAAATCAACTTAGGTACATATGTACCTAAGTTTCACGAGAATGTTGCTTTTCACAAATCCATTCCTTTGGTCTTGTTTTAACAGGAAGAAAAAAAATGTCTCAAAAACAGATGAAGGAGGCTTTTGTCAGTAACCTCAATGGAACTAGCGTGCTGGAAGTGACCCAGGGCTTATGCTTTCCTGCATTCTGTATCCTGTGTAGAGGGCTCCTGATCATTTTCTCACAGCAGTTGTGTTCTTTTTCACATAACTGGAAAATTCGATTCTTCACTGACTTTGTTGTCTTAATAGTTCCCTTGGTGACCACTTTGACTGTTTTGTCTTCATTTATCTTCCTGGAGCATCTCATTGTAATTATTTGTGGGGCAGGGCTGTTCTATCAAATATACCAGAGGAGGACTTGCTATGCTAGAGTGCCTGTCCAGAAAATCCTTGAAAAATTCTTGAAAATCAGTCTAGAATCAGAATACAATCCAGCCATCTCCGGTTATCGTGTAATTAACAGTGCATTTACAGCTGTTGCTATTTTGGCTGTGGACTTTCCACTTTTCCCCAGGAAATTTGCCAAAACTGAGCTGTATGGAACAGGGGCAATGGATTTTGGAGTAGGTGGATTTGTTTTTGGGACTGCAATGGTTTGTCTAGAGGTCAGAAGAAAATATTTGGAAGGATCCAGACTTAATTATCTTAGAAAATCATTGTACTCTGTTGGGCCATTACTCTTCCTAGGAATAGCACGATTAGTCACCATAAAATCCATAGGCTATCAGGAACACGTAAGTGAGTACGGCGTTCACTGGAACTTTTTCTTTACCATAGTGGTTGTGAAATTGATAGCAGCACTGCTTTTGATTATTTTCCCCCTAAATAAATCCTGGATTGTGGCCATTAGCATTACTGTGTTATACCAGCTAACCCTTGACTTTACTCCGCTAAAGAGTTTAATTTTGTATGGCACTGATGGTAGGGGTACAAGGGTTGGTTTATTAAATGCCAACCGAGAAGGAATAATCTCTACTTTGGGTTATGTGGCAATACACATGGCTGGAGTGCAAACAGGGTTATATGTGCTTAAGAAGAGAACATATATCAAAGACTGGATAAAGGTAATGTGTTGTCTTCTATTAGCAGGTATTAGCCTCTTCATATCTCTCCATATAGTTCAAGTAAATGTAGAAGCAGTATCTCGAAGAATGGCCAATTTAGCCTTTTGTATATGGATAGTTGCTTCTAGCTTGAGCCTTCTTAGTTGTTTATTACTGAGTGATATAATTTTGAGTTTTGCTAAATTTCTAACTAAAGGGACTCTAGTATCATGTTCTTGGAAACTTATTGAGTCACCTGCTACAAATAAAAAGCATTCTGAGTCTCTGGTCTCTGAAGCTGAAAAAAAGGAAGCCAGACTTTGTTTAATCACAGCTCTGAACAGAAACCAGCTAACTTTTTTCTTGCTATCAAATATTACAACTGGCCTGATTAACATGATGGTGGATACATTACACAGCAGTACTTCATGGGCCTTATTTGTGCTCAGTAGCTATATATTTATCAACTGTTTAGTTATATATGTACTTAATTTGCAAGGTAAAATTATAAAATTTTGGTGATCAATAGGGGTAGGCTATATCTAGATTTGGCAACATTATTTTAATGGGGAAGAACAGATAAATGTGAAGAAAATGTTTTTAGCAACCCAGTCCTAAGCATATTTTATTATTAGTCAATCTCCTATACCAATCATGATGCTTTTTTTTTGAAATGGGTTCTTTTTCCCACTCTGCCTGACTGCTTCATGTTAATGTATCTCAACATTGTATTAAAAAAAACCAATAGAGAAGAAAGAGCTTTGTTACTTGTTAGAATTTATTAAATTTATTTTAAAGAAATTGTTCACAGTTTTGATATTGGAAGATTTGTAAAGTGGAGAGGATTTTTACTTGCCATCTTATATCACCATATATACCACTTTATATTTTTTATTGTATTTTATAATGTTTTCATTAAATGTCACATTTACATTAAGGCATTTCAGTATGAATTGTCAGCACTTTGCTGCTCAACTTCAGTCTTAATAAAGCCTAGGAATAAGAAGCAAGTGTTTAAAGTCAAATGCTTACAGTCAGAAAACAACTAACTGCTCCAAAGAATAGACTGAATTGCATGATGTAGTTTACATACATAATAGCCACAGTTTTTTTTTGATACCTGTTTTGATACATTTATTTACTTTTTATTTTTGTTGAGACAAAAGTTTTGCTTTGAGCCTAACTTATTTTAGCCTACTCTGTGGTAGGGATACAATGATAAAAGCACAGCTATAGCATGGTGATGCATGCCAATAACCCTCGTACTTGGGAGACTGAAGAAGGATCACAAGTTCAAGGCCAACTTGGCCTACTTTGTAACCTGATCCCGTCTCAAAAAATAAAGCACAAACTTCCTGATTATCTTGGAACTTGCAGTCTAGTAGGGGAAACACATTAATCTTAAAAACTGTTAAATCATGAAAAAAAAAAGCTATCACAAATCAAGAACCCATCTAATAAGGAGTCAAACTTTTCTCCACAGATGGTAATTTTTTGAGCCAAAGCTGATGGCATGAATGTATGAATGGGGTATGCAGAGTGCAACGGTGGTAGGAGACACAGTATTGTAGGTAGGATGAATCTCAGCAAAAGCCCTACGTTGGGAGGGAAACAAGTATATCTTAGAACTGAAGGCTGAAATGCAGAAAAATGAGGGGGTGTAGGTAATAAGCTGGAGAGGCAGGCAGGGGACAGATCAGACATACCTCATTTATGTTAAGGGGAAGGAGAATCTGCAAGGTGAAAGTCCAAGTACTTTCAATTAGTCTACTACAAACTATGGCTACATTAAGGTTAATACCTACTTAGAGATGGATTCATTTAAGAACTCCAAGCAGCCCGGTGCTGGTGGCTCATGGCTGTAATCCTAGCCACTTGGTAGGCTAAGATCAAGAGGATCATGGTTCAAGGCCAGCCTGAGCAAATAGTTTGAGGGATCCCATATCCAAAATAACCAGAGAGAAATGGACTGGAGATGTGGTTCAAAACGGTAGAGCTCCTGCTTTACAAGTGGGAAGCCCTGAGTTCAAACTCAGTCCCACATTAAAAAAAAAGGCTGGGCACCGGTGGTTCAGGCCTATAACCTAGCTACTCAGGAGGCAGAGATCAGCAGGAGGACTGTGGTTCAAAGCAAGCCCCAGGTAAATAGGTCACATCACAAGACCCTATCTTGAAAAACCCATCACACAAAGAAGGGATGGCTGAGTGGCTCAAGCAGGCTAGCAAGTGTGAGGCCCTGAGTATAAACTCCAGTACACCAAAAAACCAAACAAAATTAAAACAACCTCTAAGTAGATCTTTGAACCTGCTGTTCAAAATCTAAAATTTAGGATTGCAGGCTTGGCTCAAGCGGTAGAGTGCCTGCTTTGCAAGGGCAAAGACTTGAGTTCAAACACCAGTCCTACTAAAAAAAAAAAACAAAAAGACTAAAAATTAAAAAAACCCACAAAAACTTTAGTTTCCAGTTCGAATGTTCAACATATATTTTAAATGGGCAACCAAACAACAACAACAAAACACTAAAAATTTGACTTTAGTTCTGTTTTTCAAGTAGAAATCATAAATAGCTCATGGTCAGAATGTTTGTTATTTGGTAACAACCTGGATTATTTGTGTAGAGCAGGTGGAGTCTCCACTCTCTGATACTAAGTTGTAGATTTTGCTGTTTTAATTAGTTGTCTCCAAATTAGTTATTCTTTGTGGTGCTGGGGAATAAAACCCTGCATGCTGGGCAAGTGTTTCTACCATACTCCCAAGTTTGTTTTTAATATAAACGTTCATTGTTAAGTGTAACTATTGCCAGGAGCCAGTAGCTCAAACCTGTAATCCTAGCTACTCAGGAAGCAGAGATCAGGAGGATCAAGGTTTGAAGCCAGCCTGGGTAAATAGTTCCAGGAGACCCTATCTAGAAAAAAACCCTTCACAAAAAAGGGCTGGTGGAGGGGATCAAGGTATAAGCCCTGAGTTCAAGCCCAAGTACTGCAAAAACAAAAACAAAAGAAAGTAACTATTATACTAGTTTAATTTGTTAAATTGGTGGCTAATTTAGCAATAAGGTGGCACTTCACATTTGGAGTTAAATCTATTATTAAAAGGAATTCTCCCCCTAAAGAAATCAATATGCAAAATAAATAGCTGTGAAAATAAAAACCAGATTTTATTTTCAATCAACAGTAAGACTTTTGAAATGTAACCAATAAGATTATAGAATGTAAATTTTGCATAACCAGGAAAGGGTAATTGGTTTTCTTGCTATATCACAGTGCCAATAGTGCAAAATTTTTTTTTTATTTTCATTTTTCTTTTATTATTCATATGTGCATACAAGGCTTGGTTCATTTCTCCCCCCTGCCCCCACCCTCTCCCTTACCACACACTCCGCCCCCTCCCTCTTCCCCCCCCCTTCAATACCCAGCAGAAACTATTTTGCCCTTACTTGCGATAAGGAGAGCAGAAGAGTTCAACCATATTGTTTCATTTAGAAAAAGTAATTTAAAGTTATCTGCTGACTTAATGAATATGTTTCCTAAATGGTCTGTTGCCTTTTGTCACTAGCTGCTCCTTCATATTTTCTAGATCTTAAATGTCTCTCATTTATGTTTCTGCAATTACAGACACTGAATCGTAAAAGAACAAAGTGGAGTTCAAACCCTATTGCAAAAAAATAAATAAATAAAAACAAAGTGTACTATTTTTTCCATCTTCCAATTCTGAAAGTCATGTAAGCTAATAAAATGCATTCCCTAAAGACAGAATTAGTATGCAAGGTTCACTCTGATTTGTCTCTATTTTACAGAAGAGAAAGATCATTCAGCAACGATTACTGAGCTCTAACATATCAGGTATAAGTGCAAGTGATATAACCAGAAAATAAGACAAAGTCCCTGCCTTTATGGAGCTTACATTTTAACTTGTGGATATTATTTTTCCTTAAAAAATACCTAAGGGGAACCGGGTGCGGGTGGCTCATGCCTGTGATCCCAGCTGCTTAGGAAACTGAGATCAGTAGGATCAGATTCAAGACTAGTCCTGACAAAAAGTTTAAGAGATGTCATCTCAACAGGAAAAACTGGGAGTGGTGGCACCTGTCTGTCATCCCAGCAATGTTGCTGGCCTGGGCAAAAAGTGAGACTTCATTTCCAAAATAACCAGAGCAAAAAAGGGCTGGGGTGTTTCTCAAGGAGTAGAGTGCCAGCCTAGCAAAAGCAAAATCTTGAATTCTAAACCCCAATACTTAAAAAAAAAAAAAAAAAAAACCAAAAACCTAAGGGGAAATTTTTTGGGGGGGGGGTGTGGTACAGGGGTTTGAACTCAGGGCCTCATGCTTGAGGCAGGCACTTGAGCCACTCCACTACCTCTGTTTATATCTTTAACTGACAAAACAACGTCCCATTGTCAGCTCATGAAAAAGAAAACCCAATTTACAGATTCTTCGATTTGAACAACTGATAATTTAAATAACAATCTGCTACTGATTTTACTACCTCATCAAACAACGTGGTTATTATGGAAAAGACGATATTGTAATCAAGTATTTTCTTTGTATCTCTGTTCTTTGATAGTAAGTGATGTGTGTTCAGTGATTAATTAAAATTAGCAGCTATGATTTGAGTGTGTCAGTCTCACTGTTCTTTACCAAACATAATCCAAAGTTTAAAAAGGCTTACCGTAGGCACATTAATTGATGGTAGTCTTTATGAGGTACTTCTAAATCTTAAAAGCCAGAGTATTCTTTTTTCTTACATGGTTTTACATGAAACAAGATTCCCTAAAAATGTCCAAATTTTTAGTACATACTGTTTACTTTCCAAAAGCTGCATGCCTACTGGATTTAAGTTAATGATCACACTGTTCCACTCTCTTTAACATGGCCAAAATACTTACTAGATAATCACATCTTTGGGACTGAACAATGGTTCTTCCAGTTTATTATGTCACCCACCCTAACAGTGACCACACAATGACATAAGTCAGCATGGCTAAGGATGCACTATGGGGTTTTTTGTTGTTGTGGATTTCTAAGACTTCATGTGATGACCAAAATACTTTTTAAAGGTCAGCAACACAATTCTAGCCTAGCCTATTCTTCCAGGAAGTATTACTCTGTGCTTAAGATTAGTCAGTTATAAGAGCAGTAAATGAATTTATCCTGAAAATCATAAAGATTTTCATATGCAAAATACTTCCCAACAACATTTTGGCTTTACAGTAGGCCTCTAGACCCTTCAAGGTGGTACATGAGTACCTCGGAGAAGGCAGAGTGTAGAGAGACTGTCTTTATAGCAGCTCTGCCTCTCAGGAGATCGTCGGAGGGAAGGGCCTTTGACCACCACCAGTACTTTGCCCACGGGAGTCGCTAAGTTAATATTAACTCACCCCAATAAGTTCCTTTGGCAAGAACACCTGCATAAGCCACTGTCCAGTTTTCTATTTGCCTCTATTGTGACCAAGAAAAACTATCAGCACACGAGTACTTTCCATTCCCCCAGAGGAATCGCGACGCAGTCCCAGCTCGGGAAGCAGTTATGCGGCTGGCTCCCGGTGAATCAGAGTGGCAGGGCCCTTTGCTCCTCCAATCTTCGGGTCCTGGAAGGCGGTCTAAGTGGTGTCAAGTGCCTGTAAACCAAGGCCAGTTTGTTTCAGCTCCCCCGCCCTCACTTGTTCCTTTCCCTCACTGACCCCGGGAGCCTCAGCTCGTCACCACTTACCCAAGTCCTCCCCGGGCCTGGGTCAGATCGGCTTGGCTCCCTGAACCCCCTCGGACCTCGGGACAAGAGGTTCCTAGCTCGGCGCGAGTGGGGACTGAGGCTAATCCTACTTAGTCCTCCTTCCCCAGCTTTATTTTGGGTTTGTTTGAATAAACT